AAGAGAACTATAGGCCAATCTCCCTAATGAACAAAGACACAAAAATCCTCAATAAGATACTGGTAAACAGAATGTAGCAAATCAAGAAGATTATACACCATGATCAAGTAGGATTCATCCCAGGGATGCAGAGATGGTTCAACATACACAAATCAATAAATGTAATATATCATATTAACAGAGCCAACAACAAAAACCATATGATCATCTCAATAGATGCTTGACAAAGTCAAATACCCATCCATGATAAAAACTCTGTAGACCAGGGATTTAGCTCAGTGGTTCCAGCACCTGCCTTGCAAACGCAAGGTCCTGAGTTTGATCCCCACTACCAAAAAAAAAAAACTATAAAAAATTGGAATAGATGATCTTTATCTCAATGCAATAAAAAGCCTTCTATGACAAACAGTTAACATCACACTAAATAGACAGAAACTGAAAGCTTTCACTCTAAAATCAGGAACAAGACAAGGATGTCCACTGTCACCACTCTTATTCAATATACTTCTGGAAACATTAGCCAGAGTAATTAGACAAGAGAAACAAAAGGAATAGCGATAGGAAAGGAAGAAGTTAAATTATAATTATTTGTGGATGACATGATACTCTACATAGAAGACCCCAAAAACTCCACCAAAACACTTCTAGATTTAATAACCAAATTCAGTAGAGTAGCTGGATACAAAGTCAGTACTCAAAAATTGATAGCATTCCTGTACACAAATGACAAACTCACTAAGAAATTAGGGAAACCACATTTTTCACAATAGTATCAAAAAAAGAAAAAGAAAGAACTAGGAATCAGTTTAACAAAGGAAGTAAAAGACTTTTATGTTGAAAACTACAGTACCCTTAAAAAGAGATAAAAGAGGATAACAGAAAATGGAAAGATGTTCCTTGTTCTTGAATAGGAAGAACCAATATAGTGAAAGTGGCCATACTTCCAAAATTGTTATACAGATTTAATGCAATCCCAATCAAAATACCAATAGCATATCTCACAGAATTAGAGAAAAAAATTCTAAAATTCATTTGGAACCAGAAGAGACCTAGCATAGCAAAAGCAATTCTGGGTAACAAAGGCAAGGCAAGGGGGCATCACAATCCCTGACTTGAAATTATACTACAAAGCTACTGTGATTAAAAAGAGTGGTGCTAGCTAAAAAAACAGACCCAAGGATCAATAGAACAGATCAGAAGATGCAGAAACAACTCCAAACACACTCAGCTACCTTATCTTTGGCAGAAAACCCAAATACCTTCACTGGAAGAAAGATAGCCTCTTTAATAAATGGTTCTGGAAAAACTGGCTTTCCACATGCCAAAGATAAAAACTAGACACATATCTTTCACCATGCACTAAACTAAAATCAAAATGGATCAAAAATCTACATATTAAAACAAATACTAAATCTACTGGATGACAGAATAGGTAGAACTCTTGAAGTCGTTGGTGTAGGTAAAGACTTTATGAACAAAACCCCAAATACATAGGAACTGTCACAAAGAATCAACAACTGGGATCTCATCTTATTAAAAATCCTCTGGGGCCTTCCACCACCTGCCTCACAACCACAAGGTCCCTAGTTCAATCCCTGGTACCAAAAAGAAAAAAGCCTCTGCACAGCAAGAGAAACCACCAACAGAGTAAAGAGACAACCCACCAGTATGGGAAAAAACTCTTTGCCAGCCGTTCCTCAGACAAAGGACTACTATCTAGAATATATAAAGAACTCAAACAAAACCAAACAGATCCCCCATATTTAAAGACCCAATCCAAAAATGGGCATCTGAAAGGAAGTAGACACTTTGCAGATGAAGTAAAAGCAGCAAATAAGTACATGAAAAAACGTTCAACATCACTGATCATTTGAGATGCAAATTAAAACAATACTGAGATTCCATCTCATTCCAGAAAGAATAGCTGTTACTAAGAAATCAACCAGTAACAAATGCTGGCGGGGCTGTGGGGAAAAAGAAACCCTTCTCCACTGTTGGTGGGGGTGTAGTTGCACCTGGTGCAACCACTGTGGAAATCAGTGTGGAGATTCCGCAAAAAACTAAAACTAGAGGCACAGTTTGTAATAGCTAAATCTTGGAAACAGCCCAAATGCCCTAAGGGGCATTTGATGAATGGATAAAGAAGTTGTGGGTTTGTGTATACAGTTGAGTACTACTCAGCCATAAAGAAAGATAAACTTGAGACATTTCTAGCTAAATGGATGCACCTTGAGACCATACTCTTAGGTGAAATAAATCAGACACATGTGTAAATACTGCATTGTTTCTCTGGTATGAGAAACTGAAAGTGTAAGTAAAATCCAAAATGTATAATAGATCTTGTGAAATAGGAAGAAAATGTTCAAATGGGTAAAGGAACTAGGGAGGGTGGTGGGAGAATACAAGGAAAGAAGGGAAAGGAAAAGAAAATAAGAAAAGAAGGAAAAAATGGAAACAAAGTTTTGTAAATAAGGAGGGGAAGAGGAGTTGAAGGGAGGGCAGGGGAATGGGAAAAAAAAGAATCAAGATATATTATGTACAGGTACAAATTCTCTATGATGAATGTGATCATTATGTATATCTAAAATGTACCAGTAAACATAATTAATAAAAAGAATTAACTGTAGTTCAGAATCGGATAACATTGTTAAAGTGATGTAAATTAATGAGTTACAGTTTATATTGGATTTCACGTTTACACTTTTGGAAACCAAAGCTCTCCGAGCGCGCGCTTGCGTGCATGTGTGCGTGCGTGCGTGTGTGTGTCTGTGTCTGTGTCTATGTCTGTGTCTTTGTGTATTCTTAATAACTGACCTTCGGCCCAATGACAAATTAAATAAAACATGAAAGTGATAAAAGAGTTTTTATCTTACACATTTCCTGAGATTAAAGCCAGATACACAATGCAGGAAAAAGATGTATTGGATTTATAGGTGCTGTGGATTTTTTAGTCTTTTTCTATAAGCTTTCTTTAATTGGAGGAAAAAAAGAACTCAGAAAGTGTGGCTACTTTACAGTGTGGAAATAGAGTAGTGTTGTGCTTGTGGGACTTACAGGGCAAAAGCTGCTGAAACACCTTTGCATGAGCTCAGCTGGCCTCCCACAAAAAGAGGACTTTTGGCAACGTGTCCTAATCAACTGCTGCACAGCGAGTCCGGCAGCTGGTTCAAATTAGATTCCCTCTGCCAAATCTTTCATAATAAAATCTATAGGGCAAAAGCTCTACTAGACTTTATATTTTGTAATGTCTGATTTGGGATTAGCAATCAAACAACACGGTAGAGCACCCCTGTCACTTTCCCCTACAGTCTACCTTCCTTGGGTCATTTCTAGAGTAATTTTGAAACTTCTTTAACTTTTTCGGAAATAACTTTAATTGTCGTATTCTACAGCAGTCAGCTTGGTAAAGCAATTCTCACAGTATTTCAAGGGCTCCTGGAGATCCCCTCTTCAAGGGTCTATAAATTCAAAGCTGTTTTCATGGTAATACTTAGACTTTGTCATTGACGTTTACCTTGAGGGTCACTAAAACTACTGGTGCCTTTGCATAAATCAGGCCAGCTGGCACTAAACAAAAACTAGTCCTTGTGATCTTTCCAGGGGTAAAAATGACAGTTTAAATTTTTTTTATTTGTACATATTTGTCATACATATTAATCACATTCATCATAGGGAATTTGTATCTGTACATAACATATCTGAGTTCTTTTTTTCCATGACAGTTTAAATATCTTTATTGAAGTACTAAAAATTATTGGTTTAATTAATTTTGACCCAGGTACTCAGGTATTTATCTTTTTAATATTCTGTGTGTTGAAATGAGAGTGCTCAGAGGGCACTTTTACCTCATACTGAAGTATGATCTGGTTGTTGTCTTAAGGGAAAGCACGGGTGTGACTGAGTTGTGAGCTAACTAGCTGTTGGCCTGGAACATCCCTTTGTGTTTGTGTTACTAGAGATCAAACATAGGGGCGTTCTACTATTGAGTTACATCCTCAGCCCCTTTTTTATTTTTTACTTTGGAGACAGAGTCTTGCTAGGTCTCTCGGGCAGGACATGAACTTGTGGCAGAGCCTCCCAAAGTGCTGGGATTACAGGGTGCACCACTGTGCCTGGCTGGAGCACAGGAGCACACTTCTTACTTGGAAGAACAGCTGACTGACAAGCTGGTTAATTAGGCTTGTGTATTAGTTGGATCTTTTCTCTACAGTAACAGATATGAATCCATCACTTAATGAAAACACTGATAATATTTGTTACCAGTGATAAAATTGTAATTTCCAAGAAAAAATTAGAATTCTGGAACTAGTTCAGATATCATATAAGTAGAATCATGCAGTATTTGTCTTTTTATGATTTGTTTATTTAATATAACATCCTCAAGATTCATCCATTTGTAAATTACAACAGGATATTCTTTTTTAGGCTGAATAATATCTCGTATGAAATACACCATGGAAATTCTTTTTTTTTTTTTTTTTTTTAACTGAGAATCAAACTCAGGGCTGCCATTCCACTGAGCTATGTCCTTGTACCTTGTATTGTTTATTTTGAGATAGGATCTGAATTGCCTAGGCTGGCCTCAAACTTACAATTCTCCTGCCTCAGCCTCCAAAGTAGCTGGGATTACAGACAGTATAGGCAGGCATGTGCCACTGCACCCAGCTCAATAGATATGTTTGTGGGATTTTTTTGTTGTTTTTTGTTTTTTGAGACAGAGTCACAGTGATCCTCCTGCCTCAGCCTCCCGAATGCTGGGATTACAGGCATGTGCCACCACACCCAGCTAGATACTTTATGAAAACAGTATCCTTTCTGGCTGTGACACCAGGAATCTTTACATAGAAAGACAGAATAGTATCTCCTTGAAAAGACTATACAATAATCTTTTTTGAAATATTCTTACCTAAAAACTCCTGAGGACATTTATAAATTTCTGCTTTTCAGGGAGCAAAAATTCCTAACATTTTCCTCTTATAATCTCTGCTCTGTGGTCCTAGGTTGGTTCATTCTGGCTCTGGATGTCGATCGCCCTCCATTGGATCTGACCTCACATTTGCTACCCGGACGGGCTCTCGGCAGGGCATTGAGATGCATCTTTTCAGGGTGGAGACGCATCGGGATCTGTCAACCTGGACCAGGATACTAGTTCAGGGTTGCCATGCTGCTGCTGAGCTGATCAAAGAAGTCTCTCTAGGTAGAGATGCTGGGATTTCATTTCTATCCATAATTTTGCTGTTGTATTTTTAGTTTTGGGTTTTTGTTGTTGCTTGTTTGTTTGTTTGTTGAGACAAGATCTTGACATGTAGCCCAGTCTGACCTCTAACTCGTTATATAGCCAAAGTTGGTCTTAAACTCCCAGTCTTCCTGCTTCAGCCTTCCAAGGGCCAGAATTATAGGCATTGACCACCATGCCTGGCTCTGTAACAGTAATTAAATGGAACTGTTAGGCTTTATTTTAAAGTAAAACCACTGTTATGTGTACCAGACCATAAAATCTGCTAAAATAATGGCTGTTTAAAGTGGTGATGATGGAAGGAAATATGGTTCTCTATTTCACAAGTAAAATTCTTATAATCCTGGTACATGGTTCTGAGCACATCTGTAACACCCCATGTATAGCATGACATTTTTGCTGTCTGTCATTTTAATCAGCATTTAATAGTGTAAGGACTCATTTGGTAAGAACTAGATATATTGACTCTCTAAGATTTGGAATCTAAATTATGGATAGACACCCTTAAATATGAGCATCTGGAAAGCTTGTGGCTATAGAAATGTAAAGAGTTCAGAACAGGAGTTCCTCTTTTTGAAGAGAAAAAATGTTTGAAAATGCCCAGCACTTACTCAAGCATCTAAAGACGTAAATGGTGTCGTTTTCCATTGTGGAAGCTCCCTCTTGTGGCTATTAACTGTCTCTATGAATTGCAGTGTTGTTTCATACATAGTACAGTACTGTAAATGTATGTATGTATACATAAAGATATTCCACAGTGCTTTTCATTTTAACATGGTTAGTATGTGGGACTTGAATTGGGGCCTTTTAGGAATTTCAGAGTACTAGCTCTAAAACCAGAACTTTAAGCCACTGTATTTTTCTCATTCTTTCTATTCCTCTTTCTCTTTTTCTTTGTTGAGTCATGTTTGCTTGTTTTGGGGGTTTTTTGAGACAGGGTTTCACTATGTAGTTCAGGCTGCCCTTGAACTCACTATGTAGCCCAGGCTGGCCTTGAACTTATTATCTTCCTGCCTCAGCCTCCTGAGAGCTGGAATTACAGGCACAGATCATCACACCTGACTCAAGACAACTCATTCTTGTGACTAGGTTTAATGCCTGAAGGACATATACTATCAGTCTGGCTTAATTCATTAAATCAGTATTTACTGAATATTTTAGTAATTATCAAGTGCTATGCTTTATAATGAGAGCAGTAAAAATAAATAAGATCTACTTTATGCCCAAGACCAATGAATGAATACAATGTCATCAGGGTGTGGTGCACATGGCTATAATTCAATTCCAGCATTCTGGGAGACCGAGGCAGGAGGATCCCAATTTCCAGCCCAGCCTTAACAACTTGGGTACTTAGCAGGACCTTGTCTCCATGTGTGGGGGGGGTGGGGGGGGGGTGGAAGGGAGGTGATGTAGCTGGTTTCAATCTCCAGTACCACAATAAACAAACAAACATACAAAAACAAACCTACAATGGTCATTCCTTCTTTGTAACCCTGGGGGTGATTAGCTCGTTGATTATACTTGATGGGGTGGTGTTTCTTAGATGTAGTCACCAGGAATGCTGCCTCAGCCTTTCCCTGGCAGACCACTCCCCTCCGAGTTGCTCTGCAAGGCCCACACAGTTCTATGGCTGCTGGAGGATCAGGCCAGGGGACACTCTGGAGACACTGCATGTACCAATGTTCACCTTAGTGTAATACCCCTTAGTTTATTAGTTAATGAGCCTTTTTTCCTCATAGCTTTATGGGGAGAGGGGTCTTTTCTTGGCAATCACAGTTCTTTTCAATTTGCTTGAGCCAGTTTGGTTCATGTGCTCACCTCGGATGATACATTCACCTGGGTAAGGCCATGCTCCACTTGGCCCAGGAGCTATCTGCCCTTAAACTGTTGACACACTTCCCCTGAAGCACATGAGGACAGAGTAGGAACTGAAATAAAACTGAAATTTGGTTATAAAAGAAAAATGGAGAAATAGAGATAACCTACAATTAGTACTACAAATATCAAGTTAGATGAGGCTGAAGAAGCTGGTTGGGGTTAGCAGTGTGGAGATAGTTGGCGCACTTAGGGAGAGACACCTAGTGGTATGATGGCAGGGACTGATGCCAGGGGGCTGAGGGGTGAGTGGCAGACAAAATGTGAAAAAACTGAGTGTAGATAGCTCTTTGAAGAAGTTTTGCTGTAGCCAAGTGTGGTGGCACACACCTGTAATCCCAGTACTCAGGAGGCTGAGGCAGGAGGATCACCACAACTTCTATATAGTGAGACCAAAACCAGAAAAAGATCTGTTCTAGCTCACAGTTGTGGAGGTTTCAGTCCATGGTCAGTTGGTCCCAATTTTTTAGACCTGTGCAGTACATCATGGCACCAAGCACATGGCAGAAAAAGTCATCCACCTCACTGTAGAGAAGTGGGGGATGGGTTCCCAATACACCCTTCAAGAACACAGCCCCAGTAACCAGAAGACGCCCACTAGACACCACCTCTTAAAGTCCTACCACCTCCCGGGAGCACTATGGGTGGACCTTTGGGGGACACTTCTCCAAAGCACAGCAGTGGGAGCAGAGTGATCCAAAGCACAGGCAGGAGGATTGACCTTAGCCTTGAAGAGGGAGAGGTTGGAAAAGAACCTGGGTAGGGATATAGTCTTAGCTACTGAAGAAGCACTGCCGATAACCCATGAGTATTTGTGGTAAACAGATACACATTACTAATTCCAAAAGCAGTTATAGGCTACTTTTATGTTTTTGTTTTGTTCTTTGTTTTCTTGCTGTACTTGAGATTGAACCTAGGGCCTCATGAATGCCAGGCAAATGCAGTACCACTGAGCTATATCTTCAGCCATAGACCTTTGAGATAGGGTTTTGCCAAGTTGCCCAGGCTAGCCTCAAAACTTGGACTCCTTCTGCCTCACCCTCCTGAATAGCTGAGATTACAGGCATGTGGTGTTATATACTTGTATAGTTATATACTTATTCTTTATTTTTTGGTGAGACAGAGTCTTGTTATATACTTATACAATCAGGAAAAACAATAATTTTTGGTTTTTGCCTAAGAACTATCCATAAATCCTTTTATTAAAATTTTACAATATAATATTACTGATAAGCTAGGGGGAATATCAGTATTTTAGCTTGAGAATTTCCTGAGAAGGGCTGAGGATAACAGATTATGCTTGGGCCTAAATATTGGCCCTATTGTCTTCATCCTGGTATCTCATAATTACACAGTTGAAGATTAGCATAATCATCAGCAATTGTACCTGAAACCAAGTATTAATGCTCTATATCAGCAATCCCCAGCCCTGACTGCACAGTGGAGATACCTAAAGGGTGTGTGTGTGTGTGTGTGTGATGCATGTGATGCTAGGGATATAGGCCAGGACCTCCAGCATGCTAGCAAGCACTGTACCACTGAGCTATATCCCCAGCTTCTAGAAAGCTTTTTAATAATATCAGTGGCTAGCCAGGTGTCATGAAGCACACCTATAATCCTGGCACTCTGGAGGGCTGAGGCAGGAGGATCACAAGTTTGAACTACATAGGAAGACCCTGTCTCAAAGAAGCACACAGAAAATAGCTGGAGAAGTAGGTCAGTGCAAAAGCTTTGGGTTCAATCCTCAGTAATGTAAATTCGATTAGCTAGGGTGTTAGAAGTCTCACAGAATATTTTCACATCCTACTAGGGTTGAGAACCACTGCTCTCGATTTTTAGATGAAAATCAATTATGTGATAGGAAGCCGTAACTATTTGTCAATTAAAAATTAGTATGTATGAAAAAAAAATTAGTATGTATGACTCTGAATATACTAAAACCATTGAGTTGGACACTTGAAATGTGTGGATTGGTTGTATATGTGAGCTGTATCTCAATAAAGCCATTATTTTAATAATAAGTGTAATAATTGAAACTTTAAAGGCTACATAGTGAGTTCGTGTCCTTTCACAGCATTCTCTGTATCTCTTGTGCTCCCTTCTGCTCTGCCCATGTTTCCTTTCCTTCCTCTCTGTCTGAACATGTCTGAACAGTGCGTCTTTTACCCAACTCCGTGTCTCCTAGCACTTCACACAGTGTCTAGCACATAACAAGGGCCCAAAGCAATTTCTTTTTTCCTCAAATAAACATTGGTTGTGATTATAGGTCTGTCTTTCCTGTTGACCTGTAAGGGCAGGAAGTTGAGGAAATATGAAGAAATGAATGATTAAATATGCAAATAATAAACTAAGACATAATTCACAACTCCCCTGGGCAGTTTGTCTTGAAATATATTTTCTGATTATTCTGGGACCAGGCTAATGAAGTTGCTTCCTGTGTCTTCAGGTCTGCCCACTGATAGCATCCCGCTTTGTACTTCACAAAAGGAGCCAAAGTGCTCACTGCTGGACACTGTTTGTTTTACTTATCTCTCTCCCTTGAGTATCTGAAAAACAGTAGGTGTATTCCCCTTTTAAACTTCAATATCTGATGTCTTGTCATTGTCCTTGAATGGTGCTATTGTGTGTCCTTTATATTCTGGTAACCTTATTAATTAAAATAAATACATCAGGGCCAGGGATTTAGCTCAGTGGCATCGAGCCTGCCTTGCAAGCACAAGGTCCTGAGTTTGATCCCTGGTACCAGAAAATAAATAAATAAATAGATAAGTTAAATTTTTTATCGCGCTACCTAGATATTAAGGTGGATGGTGGGTTTATAACCATCCAAAACAGTTTTGGTTGAATCAAGACATGAGGATGGTTTTATATATATGGGGGGGGGTACTGGGGATCGAACTTGGGACCTTGCACTTGAGAGGCAGGCGCCAGAACCACTGAGCTAAATCCCCAGCCCGAGGATGGTTATAATAAGCCATCTGCAACAGCACAGAAAGACCTAAGACCCTCTGCAATTGAGAGAGGGAGGTGTCAGGCACTTCATCATTTTAAATGTTTGATGCACAATTTAGGAAGAAATTGTTTAATATTACTTGGCATGATTTCTTTTTCCCTTTGGTACTGGGGATTGAACCCAGGGCTTTGCACTGACCTCCATCCCCACCCCTTTCTTTCGTTTTGAGACAGGGTTTCACTAGGTTCCTAAGTTGCCTGGGCTGTGGCTAAACCTGAAATCCTTCTGCCTCAGCCTTACAGAGTGCTGGGATTATAGGCCTGTGTCACCATGCCTGGCTTAGGCATGACATTTTTGTGATCAGGTCATGCTCTTCATTCAGAAGGATCTGGTATCCATCATACATTTTAAATTACAGTGGTATGTTTGTACTCATCGTTAATTGCTTCTGAGATGCATGGTGAGTACCAAATTGTTTTGGCTGGAAAGTGTAGCTTGTCAAGAGGCAGTTGGCACTGGCAGCCTCTAGCTTGCACATCAAATACCAAACAAACGACTGGGACAAAATTTTCATGTTAAAATTCCTTAAGTACCAAATTCTACCAGTGTCAAAGCAGTCAAGTGCCAAGCTATGACTGTAAAACCTAATATCTAGACTGAAACATATTCAATGTGGTCTTTATTTCTCCTTTTCAAGCTTGAGGTAACCATAAGCAAGATTCTGTTTTTTAATATAACACTTTTCTTTTCCTTCCCTCCTGAGGGGAAACAATTCAAAATAGAATAAACAAGAAGTCCCTTACACAGCAAGCTTGTAATGGTTTGCCTTGCCCAGCCTGGATCACCTGATCTCGTCCTGCTGTGACACACCCATCAGCTAGTGACTCACCACTTGCTCTACACCTTCTCCACCCAGTGCTGCCCTAATTTGGGTGATCCTTGCTTTTGAGCTTTTCTTTTCTACACTACTCTGTGGGCCTCAATACCATGACTGTTCTGTAGCTTAAGGGATATAATAGAATCTTAGCCTAGTTCCCTTGATTGGGATCTGGCTGTTCCTCCAAACCCCTACCAGTGATGGCAAACTTTGTAGAGCTTTCAGTGATAACAACAGTCTGCTGTAGCACATGTACCATAGGTTCGCCACCCCTGCCCTACACCATTCATTTAGAGATCAGTGCATTGGATTACTTCTATGTACAGGTGAATAATTTTATCCACATTTAGTTTCTTTCACCTGTGGCCAGGTTCCTTTACTGAGGGTAACCAATATTCAAAGTTTGTTGTCCGTGACTTTTTTTTTCTTTGGTACCAGGGATTGAACTTGGGTCCTTGCGCTTGCGCAGCAGGCAGCAAAACCACTGAGCTAAATCCCTGGCCCCTCGTGACTCTTTTTTGATTGGGAAACATCACCAATATTTATCTTTCTGTTTTGTCTTTGTGGTACTAGAGATTGAACCCAGAGTGTTTACACTAAGCTACATTTCTAGGCCTTTTAAATTGCCCAGGCTGGGCTCAAACTTACAATCCTCCCACTTCAGTCTCCAAAGTACTGGGATTACAGACATGTGCCACCATATCCAGTTTTATCTGTTTTTTCCTTATCTGCTAAACATACAGCTGCCTTGACTTATGGAATGTTTTTATATATCCAGTGAAAGAATACATTGGTCTCATATGACTTCCTTGGTAAAGAGCTATTCTTTCTGGTTAAAGTGATATGACCAAGGATAGCCTAACTTAGGTCCTTGGGAGATTTTAAGTTCATTTCTTAGAAGGGTATGCTAATTCCCAAGTTCCAGAGAGTCTCTCACTTGTAGCCCCTGGACTAACAACAAATCTGTTCTCAAATGTTAGTGAAACAGATTTCATGAGCTTTCACAGAAGGTGTTTGCCACCTTGATGATCAAGGCTGTTTGTATCCAGTTGACTCAGATGTATGTTTTGCAGACCACAGACTTTTCCTTTGATAAACATCTTCCCAAATGCCAACTATATCCCAGCCCTCAAAGGCATCTCTGCCTGTGCCCCTTTATTTCTTCATCCTTCTTGCCCACTCCTCCTGCCTTTCAAGTTTCATCTGTTCCTTGTGGCCGAAATAAATTCAGTCTCTTCTAGGAAACCTTTCCTTGACTTTGGCCTTACTCAGTTGGTGTTTGATCTTTTTCTATGCATTCTATTTATACAGTTAGAGGTCACCTGTAATCCCCAAATTTTGGGAGGTTGAGACAGGAGGACCAAAAGTTCAAGCCCAACCTGGGTAATTTGACAATTTAGTAAGATATTGTCTTAAAAAGAATATGAGGGCTGGAGATTTAGCTCAGTGGTTCTGCCACCTGCCTCCCAAGTGCAAGGTCCCAAGTTCGATCCCCAGTACTCCCCCCAAAAAAGAATATGAAAAGGCCTGGGGATGTAGCTCAATGCAGAGGCCCTGGGTTGAATCCCCAGTAGTGCAAGGAGGTGGGGTGTTAGGGACTGATGTCTATGTCTATATGTTTATGAATTCCCCAGGGGCAATAATTGTGCCTCCTGCCCCTCCGTTACCACATGCACACAGCTTCCATGCACTTGCCAGCGTGAATGTCCAGTTGAACCTATTTGGACTCAATCTCAATCAAGTTGTTGGCTCCAGTGGCCAAAACAAAATCCACTTGAGAAAGAGTTCTGAGTACACTCTCAGAAAGATTCTCTCTCTCTCTCTCTTTGAAGCTAAAAGAATCTTTTTCCACTTGATAACTGAAAAGGAACTTTACTAATAATATTTTCTGTTTGTCTTTGATAGGCTGCACATTAAATGGCCAAGAGGTAAAATTCACAGTGCATTATGAAAATGGGTTCACTGTCTCCAGGGAGAATGGAGGCTCCAGCACTGTGTTGTTCCGCTACCCCTTTGAAAGACTGAAGATGTCTGCTGATGACGGCATCAGAAATCTCTATCTGGATTTTGGTGGTCCTGAGGGAGAACTGGTAAGAGTGACCCTGAAAACCATGCTTATACTAATAGTTATTCTCTTTCTTTCTCATTGCTTCTTACTGCTTAGATAATTATGGCCTGTTATTCCATTTGGAGCCAGGAAATTATTCTTCAGTTTTCAAGAGAGCACTGGATTAAGGCTTTTGTTGCAGTTTTCTTTCCCCCACATTAAAAACCCATTCTCTTTTTTCTTTTTAAGTTTTTTTTTAGTGGTAGAAAAAAAATAATGTGCGTGTGTGTGTGTGTGTGTGTGTGTGTGTGTGGTGTGTGTGTGTGTGTGTTACAGAGGATTGAATTCAGGGCTTCACGCATGCTAGGCAAGCACTCTATCACTGAGCTTCATCTCTAGCCCCAAAAAAACATTTAAGAAAGTTTTTTCTTTAATTAAAAATAAGATTGGGGCTGGGGATATAGCTCAGCGGTGCTGCGCCTGCCTGGCAAGCACAAGGTCCTGAGTTCAAAAAAATAATAATAATAATTAAAAATAAGCTATAAGGTGGGGGGCCGAGGATTTAGCTCAGTGGTTCTGCTGCCTGCCTCGCAAGCACAGGGTCCCATGTTCAATCCCTGCTACCAAAAAAATAAAAGATATAAGGGGAACAAGGGAGGAGGGAGAGAGAAAAGGAAGGGGACAAGAAAAAACATGAAAATAGAAGGAAAAAATGGAAACAAAGCTTTTGTACATAGGGAGGGGAGGGGGCTTGAGGGTGAGAAAGGAATAAAATAAAATTTAATTTAAAAATAAGATATAAAGTACCTCAGCCAGCAAACTTTGACAGGTAAATTCTAATCATTGCTATTAGCAGCAGTTTGTAGGGATAAAAGTTAAGTAATAGAGCAACTTGGTTGAATAGAAACTCTACTGATCAAAGCAAAAGAAACATATATCTACAGGGCTATTATCTTTCTTTCTTTTTTTTTTTTTTGGTACTGGGGATCGAACTCAGGACCTTGTGCTTGTGAGGCAGGCAGCAGCATCACTGAGCTACATCCCCGGCCCTATTATCTTTCTTTTTTGTGCCATTGAGCTACTATATACAAAGCCCTTTTTAAATATTTTATTTTGAGACAGCATCTTTCTAAGTTATCCAATCTGGGCTTGAATTTGGGTCCCTCCTGCCTCAGTTTCCCAGAGTGCTAGAATTACAGATATGTACCACCACACCTAGCTCTCTTTTGTTTTTTGAAACAAGATCTCACTATGTAGTCCAGGCTGGCCTCAAACTCAAAGTCATCTCCTTTCAACCTCTCCAGTGCTGCTGGGATAACAGGCATGTGCCACTACACCAGGTTTTACATCATCTTTTTTACTTCTTTTTTTTCCAGTACTGGGGATCATACTCAGGACCTTATGCTTCCCGGCCAGGCGTGGCACCACTAAGCTACATCCCCAGCCCTTGACTTCTCTATTTTTAAAGGACATCCCAACAGGAAGTCAGGATTCCATTTACTTGTTTGTTTGTTTGTTCATTCCTCCTAGGGCCTCATCAAACTGAGCTATATCCCCACCCCTTTTTGAGACAGGATCTGACTAAATTGCCCAGGCTTGCCTCAGATTTGTGATCCTCCTGACTCATCCTCCCAAGTAGCTGGGACTAAAGGTGTGTGCCACCATGCCCAGCCATGATTCTTAGAGGGACTAGAGATATGTCAGGTACACTTCAAAAATTATAAATTCTGGCCAGGCATAGTGGCACACACCTGTAATCTCAACACTTGGAGGGCTGCAAGATTGAGGCCAACCTGGAGTACATAGTGAGTTCAAGGCCAGCCTGAACAACAAAACCTTGTCTCAAAAAAAAAAAAACCCCCAAATTATAAATTCTGATAAAGGAATAATGTCTTTTTTCTCTCGTCAGTATTGAGCGCATAGTTAAAATCTTATCATACATGAAATCTTTTTTTCATTGACACAATCACAATAAGTGAATTTGGAAACATTGATTCCTATAATTTAAGAACTGAGAAATCTCAGATAATGTAGTTCAATCTCCAAATGAAAAAGTATGACTGAAAAAAAAATTTTTGAGACAGGGTCTTGCTCTATAATTCATGCTGGCATCAAACTCCCAGTGATCCTCCTGACTCAGCCTGATTACAGGCATGTGCCACCATGCTGGGGTTGAAAATTTCATTTTAGGGCCAGGGATTTAGCTCAGTGGCGCTGCACCTGCCTTGCAAGCGCAAGGTCCAGAGTTTGATCCCTGATACCAGAAAAAAAAAGAAGAAAACTTCATTTTAAATGATGAACTGAGCTGGCATGGTACTCCTAGCACTTGGGAGGCTGAGGCAGGAGAATTCCTGCAAGTTTGAGTCCAGCCTGGGCTACATAGCAAGTTCAAGGACAGCCTAAACTACAGAGCAAGACCCTGTCTCAAAAACTGAATTTAAAAAAAATTTCAGTCATACCTTTTCATTTGGAAATTGGAGGTCTGTGCTTAATAAAGGCAAAATTGGCCTCCTGACTAACCTCAAGAGTCATCCTTCCAACCACCAATCTAGTAAGGGATATCAGAAATCACACCCACCATGTAGGGCCAGGGATTTAGTTCAGTGGTTCTGTTGCCTGCCTTGAAAGCACAGAGTTCCACGTTCGATCCCCCGTACCAAAAAAATAAGAAATCACATCCACCATGGTCATGCTTCAGGTAAGCTCACTGTGATTCCTCCTGGGAAACAGAATTACAGTTAATGGTCTCCATGTTGGACATTCTTTTTTTGGTACTGGGAATTGAATTCGGCGCCTCTTGCTTGCCAGGTAGGCACTGTGTCGCTGAGCTACATCCCCGACCCCTTTTTTGGTTTTTGGTTTTTGGTTTTTTGACAGAGTTTCCCTATGTAGTCCAAGCTGGCTTCAAACTTCCTGTGTAGTCCAGGCTGGCCTCAAATTCACATCGATCCTCCTGCCTCAGCCTCCTGAGTGCTGGGATTACAGATGTGTATCTCTATGCCCAGCTCCTCTTCATTTTAAATCCTGTACTTTTTAGCTCTTCCTTCCAGGCATGGTGGAATCCATTACACCACTAGTTGTCTCCTAAGTGTAGATGTGAGACCTCACAGCAATGATATATGGTGACGTGGAATAACTTTACTTTAGAGTACACTTTTGTTTGTTGCTTTCTGTTCCAGAGAGTTTCTGTAACTCTACCTTTTTGTTGTTGTAGTTCTAGGGATTAAACCCAGAACCTCACACATGCTAAACATATACTGTAGGGGCTGGGGATTTAGCTCGGTGGTGCTGCGCCTGCCTCGCAAGTGCAAGGTCCTGAGTTTGATCCCTGGTACTGGGGAGGGGGGCGGGAATAGAAATAAACATACCACTCTTATCAGTGAGCTACACCCCTAATCCCTCCAAGTTTTTTTTCAAAGTGGAGCATCTTATCTAAATTTGTTTATTTTGCATCTTTGTGTACTGAAGTCTGTGTATATAGTAATGATAATGAATGTCCTATCTCCACAGACCATGGACCTGCATTCTTGTCCAAAGCCGATTGTGTTTGTGTTACACACGTTCTTGTCAGCAAAAGTCACTCGCATGGGACTGCTTGTCTGAGCAGCAAAAGTCAGAAAAGAGCCTTGACTGTCACCAAAAGTATTTTCACCTCAAAAAAAAAGAAGAGGAAAAAAAGCACAAAAGAAAGCTCTTTGCTCTCTCTCCTCCTGTACAGTGCCTTCCCAAGGACCTGCAAATCACTGCAGAACCATAACTGGGTTTAAAGAAGAGGCTACCTTGGCCAGAAACTCTAGGACTTACTAAGCTCCAAAATGAAGCTATTGGTTTATTGTCTCATTTCATAATGTGGTCTATAGGTAATCAGGTTTATTTCCCCTGTTAAAAATGGTGGCTTTTTATTTTTTGTTTGTTTCCTTTGGGCTTTTTTTGGACATAGTCAAGTAGCCAGCCAAGAGCTGTTTCCTTCTCTTATTCCTTAGGACTTGTTTCAGGCTTGGCCTTGACTTCTGACTTCTGGTAGCTTTCCCTTCCCAGGTGCTAGAGTGCAGCAGCCTGTGCTTCTTGGTCATTCCACACGGGCCAATGCTTCGTTAGTGCTGTCTTCACCTGCTCCTTCCACCCAATGAAACCCTTGAGCTGCATCACCAAAGGGTTTTTCCGTCTGTCCTGGGTCTCGCCATATCCAACCTACCCATCACCACTTTGCCCATCACCAGCTTTGCTGAACATAAGTGCTAACTTTAGGGTTAAGAAACTGAAAAATTTGATTTGCCTTGCTTCTCCCTTTCTAGTGGTGACCAAGTTGATGTGCAATTTGAAAACCACTGCATTGGAAGGAAAATTTTACTTGTTTTAAATTTTTCTGATTTTATCTTTGGTAGGAGCCAGGGTATAAGATTTATTTTAAAAGAAAATCCTCATTTTAATCTAAGCCATCCTTTATTGCTTACCAAAATGTGCCTTTGGTTAGGATTAGTGGAGCTGAATTAGTCACTATTTGAATAACTGGATATCACTACCATTCCAGGGATATTATCTGTCCTAGTTTCAAGCACCAGTCTTTGAGGGGGTTTTCCTTAATGGCATCTTTTCTAGTGGGCGGATCTCTTTGAGGAAGATAAATCTCAAGAGCCAGCCTGTTAAAGAGTAGACTTTTTGGGTGAAGCCAGCTCTTCAGCACAACATCTTATCAAGTTCCTTTGGGCTATGTGAGCCCACACAAGAGCCTGGCCCTAGCTTTCCCTTTCTTTAGCAGCAGAGTAGAATGGACAAGCAGCTGCCAGCTCAGGACTCCTTGTTGGCTTCGTAAGGAATCCTGCAGTGGGCAGGGTGATGAGATCATGGCACAGCTACCTTTGTTTTGTTAACTCTTGCCAGGTGTCAGCATTAGGACACAGCAGCAGTACGAATGCTGATTTTGTGATCTTAGAGATACATGCTCAGCTTGTTTTTCCTAATTTTAAAGGAGATATGTATCTTTGAAAACATTTAAAATAGTATATCTATATAGAATGTCAAAATTAGCTTGGTCCCTGGATCTGAAAGAAAAGGAAATAGTGACTTTGATGTTCTGTATGTAGTCTAAAGAGTGGTACAGAAGTAATTCTTGTTTTCTAGAGCTATCAGGAGTTCCACAGGAAGATGTGAGCACAACAGAGGGTGGAAGAGAGTAGCACTCCAAATGGGTAGATGCACATGCAAAACCTGAGCTGTTTGGTTTGAGGGCAGACCGACTGATAAGTGGAGTCTGAAGGAGCAGGCACCCAAAGCAGACAGTGTAACTCTAGTGTTCTCTCTGCCCATAAGCGAGGCCTTCTTCCCCTGTGAAGTGAGACTAACAGTATGCAGAGGATGGGGAGAGATGTCTGTTCTTCCTCCAGCTTCAAATAAGTGTTGAAAGTCCAAAAATGAATGAACTGATCCACTTAACACTGGAAATTAAAATCTAGACAAGAATAACTTTCAAGAGCTTTTCATGTTTTGAAAATTAGTAAACCTGGCTGTGCACATTGGCACATGCCCGTAACCCCAGCTAGAAGGGAGCCTGAGGTGGGAGGATGTGGAGTTTGAGGCTAGACTGGGCAACTTAGACCTCATTTCAGAAGCAAATAAATAAACCTGAAAATTCATAAACCTAACATTAGTTCCATCTGAGATACGCATGCAGGGCAGGGGGAAAAAGTGTTCTGAAGGTCCAGCTCTGATTTCTGGAAGCAAAATTTGAACAAATAATAACCTCAGATAAAAGAATTTGGACATTTATTATTAAGACAAGCTGAATGATGCATTCATGGACTTCAGCAGCAAGGCCATTTCACTGACATTTTCTGTGTTAATATGAAAGGCAAAGCCACTAAGATCTGCAGGGGAATTTCAAGGCCACCCTGCTTGTTAGTAATATGACAAAGGTATGTAGAATAGGTGTGATTAAAATATGGGCAGGAGAGGTAAGACGTGTACATTTCAACTCATTTTGTTCAAGCTTAAATTGTCATGTGGCACTGAGGCCCACAGGGTTTATAATAATATCTTTTGAGTTTGACGTGAAATGAAAGCACATGGGAGGGTTTTGTCCACTAGCAGCTCAAGACCAAGAGCCCTAAGCTGCTTGTTTTACAAACTAACAGCTTTCCAGTCATGGGTAGTCAAGGTTGTTCTTTAATCAAACATGTTTAAGGGATTTTCAAACCAAATTAAGTGGTTTTTATGAATGGGACAACTTTATATATATGTATTTTGTATTTAGGTGCCAAAATATGGCTAATTATTTTCAAGTAATAAATGGGCATTTTGATGTTTCACCTCTTTTATAGAACCAGGTAAATGATCATTTCCTTTATACTTTGAATTAGAAATATGGTTGAGGATGTGGTGGGTCCCCCTGTCCAGAATGGAAAGAAACTGCAGTGAAACCCATCATCCCCTCCCCAAGTCCAAGGGACCACTTCCTATGCTCCAAGACCCAGGCCCGGGCATCTTCTCTGTATTCCACACAGATGTCTAAAAGCAGTCAATCTGTATATGAAAAATCTTCCTCTTCTTTCCCTAAAACTTCCCTTTCTCCCCATAATAAAAGAAATGACTCCATTTTTCTCTTTTTGAAGAAGGTAAGTCCTTACCTGAAGTCATTAAACAAAACTTACCTGGAAATTAGTGTCTAATATTTTATATGAAGAAATACTTAAATGTATGTTTATACAGTATTTATTAGATAGTTGTAACTGTAAACCTACCTACCTAGTAGACAGAGTTCCAGGTAAAATATTGGGACATTTACAGGCAATCAAAAATGTTATTTTAAATGCCATTCTTCTGTTTTAAAGCCATGTTTTAGCACTTTTTACACTGGGGAAAGTCTTATGGTGCCTGTATTTTAATCATCTGAATTCTCACAAACTTTGTTACTGAAAATTTTTGCATGGCAGGAAAGACTGAATTATTTATAAGCTGAAAAATCTACCCAACAAATGTCATGTGTAACAAATAGCTAATAATGTTACTAATTATTTGTTTTCCTAATTTATCCTTTTAAGAAGAATGGCAACAAAGCTTTTTTCAGCTGATTAAATGTGCTTAGCTGAGGAACAAAAATTTATTCTTAAAAAAAAAATTAAACTCTGGAATCTGGACGAGATTATGTTTCTCCCAAAAAGAAGTTTAGCTGTAAGTGGTTTTGTGGACAAAAGTATGTGGAAAAAGTTATGATGCTTTTTTAAAAATGTTGTGAGAACTAAAGGACTTCTACTTTAATTTATATGCATGTGGATATATTTGCTTTTAAAACCATGGAAGAATCTGTCCATGTTTTTAATGCAAATTGCCTTCTAAGCTGCTATGCAAATTTATTAAAAAGCCCTACCTGCTTAAAGAGTTAAACATTTTTTACAACTTTCAGGGAAGACCTGTAGACTCGAGCACTTTCTCTGCCTTTTTGTATCTTATCTTGTACACTTACATTGATTTATGTTCATTATTTTCACTGGTTATAAGCTATTGATTGTACATAATACTTAAACTATCCAAATATCCAGCATACATTTCTATGTGGCTCCCATCAGTCATGGGTGCCATGAATGAAATGGCTGGTTAGAAAGCCAAAGGTCTTTGTTCAATCCCTAATCCAGATATAGAATGCCAAATCTCTTTGGTCTCAAAGCAAATTGCTCTAGTCAGATCATAATATCTGTGTAATGAAAAGAGGCTTATTTAAATTTGAGATTCTGCAGTTAGTTATATTCATTCTTTTATATATCTCTATCAGGTATAATATATGTGCCAGGTGGTATTATATTACTTTAAGTTTGGAAATCTTCCATTTATTGTGGCTTTTCTTTTTGCAGCTAAAGATAAAAGGAGAAAATCTACTCTCTCTCCCTCTGTATTTTTATCTCTTTTTTTCTTTTTTCCCCCTCTGTATGGGGGATCAAACTCAGGACCTTACATTTGCCAGGCAGGCGCAGTGCCACTGAGCTAAACCCCTGGCCCCCACTCTGTATTTTTAAATTAGTAATCTGGAATTCTTTTGTCTTTCCACAAAATAGCCAACAGCAGCAGTCTGCCCTACCCCCATTTTAAGCTATATCTTTCACTGTGTTGAGTACAATGAATGTGTGATAATAGTTTTAAAATCATTATGCTGTATGTCAGGATTATGTATTTTTGAGCAATATAGTTATTCCTAGGCTGTAATGATGTTAAATAGAATTTACTTTATTCTAGTAATAGACTGGTTAAGTGGCTGATCTGAAACTCTCTTAAAAAAAAAACAACTAAATACATGTGGTAGATCAGTGATACAGGTTTGTTCTATTAAAGGATGGAATTTCAAATTAAGGGTAAGGTACAATAAATAGGCACATAGAATACATCTGTTTTCTTGTCTCTTTTTGACACTGGCTAAATTGCCAACCAGAAGGACAGTTATGCATTAACTTGAAAGAGTATTTTAAGAGGTGTTTATTTGTTTTGATGCTGGGGATTGAACCCAGTGCCTTCCTCATGCTAACCATGCTCTACCACTGAGCTACACCCCCAGCTGTTCGTTTACTTCAAAACATAAATTTGAGCTTTCCACTGTGAATGATTGAACCAAAGCATATTCTAGTTTTAGAAGGGAATTCAGGGCCGGGGATTTAGCTCAGTGGTTCTGCTGCCTGCTTTGCAAGTGCAAGGTCCCAAGTATGATCCCCGGTACCAAAAAAAAAAAAAAGATAGAAGTAAATTCATATTTAATGTAATGTATAACTGTCTTTTGCAAATTATTGCTGCTCTCCAGTGACTACTTGATTATATTCAACAAAAATCTATATAAACTGTAATCTTTGAATTGGTTAAAACTAAAAACCTATAGGGCCGGGAATGTAGCTCAGCTGTGCAGCACCTCCCTGGCAAGCTCAAGGCCCTGAGTTTGATCCCTGGTACAAAAACAACAACAAAACCCTAAAAACCTGTAATACAGAAATGATATGTCATTATACTGTAGGACTGGGAATCCTGATTGGATTTCTATACTGTGGATCCTCTACCTTCCTCAGTTTGCGGTAGTCTCATTTCCATGCCATTGACACAACTCTTAAATTTTTGAGTCCCTCTTTATCCCATTCACAAATATACCCTTCAACCCTGACTGTTCTGTCACTTCTCCCAAAGTGATAGAAATTTCTTGTGAATACACAAAAAGATCTTTGAGGATTTGGTGTAACTTTGAAACTACAAGGCTAATTAATGACATATTAATTCATTTATTCTTTTATCTAATTAGCATTTATTAATGTACATTTCTGTACCAGGCAGTCTGAAGGGTCTAAAGAAATTTCTTTCCTTTAAGTAGCACATAATCTATTATTTCTCAATCCCAACATGCCTTCTCTTTATAAATCAGCAGTTAGGTAATTAGCTACTTTGTATTTTTACCAAAGTATATCCACAGTTCTACTTATCTGTGTATGGCAAACTGGAAAATGTTTTGGTTTTTTTTTTTTGGTACCAGGGATTGAACTCGGGACCTTGTGCTTGTGAGGCAGGTGGTGGCACCACTGAGCTAAATCCCTGGCCCTTGGAAAATGTTTTGAAAGGCTACTCAGACCTTGACCCATGCCAACAAGAAAAGATCCAACCACATTTAAGTACGTTGATCTTTTCATTATATGTAATCTGTTTTGTTTTGTTTTTTGTACTAGGGATCGAACTCGGGACCTGGAGCTTGCAAGGCAGGCGGCGGAACCACTGAGCTAAATCCCCGGCATTATGTGTAATCTTAAATGAAAAATCAGACTGTAGTTTGGGAAAGAGCAGTATATACATAAGATAAATCATAACAGACATTAAGCTCTGGTGCTGAAAGTGGATTAGTGGGAAAGGCTTTTTAAAAACTACTTTTAATTACAACTGCAGAAATAAATGTATATTTCCTTAATCTGTATTTCTAAATTTTGCTAACCCATTCATTTCCACATAAACCATTTAAGCATTCTCATTTGCTGAAAGTCTGTATTCATGGTAGAGTGTTTCTCCACTAATGATCAATCAAACTGAAGATATTTAAAAGTTAGCAAACTCTCCACTTATCCTAGAAAATAGTGGGCATTCAAACTCCACGGAAAGGGAAAAGGAGAGGTTGATCATATTCTCCATAATTTTCATACAGTAACAGTCCCTTTCTATTACCTTGCTTTCCATGGGTTGCTAGGGTCAGCTTTTCAGACAGTATCCTTAGTCACGGCTAGGAGCTATGTGTGATGGGAGTAGCACAGGGACATAGACACATGGCTGCGTCTCCTTCGTTTTCAGGTGTCCTGGAGTAGTGCATAAAAACTAGGTCCAAAGGGGCGGGGGATTTAGCTCAGTGGTTTCGCCGCCTGCCTCACAGGCTCAAGGACCCAAGTTCCATCCCCGGTACCAAAAAAAAAAAAAAAACTGGGTCATGTGTTCCACATCTTGGCCCTTACTATACCTGCCCTTCGACAGTCAGGTGCTAACGATTGTATTTTATCAAAACCAGCACACAAATATTGTCCTGTAGGTGTCTGTTCTTCCTAGGTTGAAAAATGTTTTCCTTCTATCTCAGTCCTGTGAGGGTGGGTGTCATTTGTATCTTTTCACCTGTTTTGTGAATCAGTAGAATTTGGGGGAGAGAAAATAATCTGAACTAAGTTTTAGGTTTTCACAGTCACCAATCTCTATGATCTTGTCACTTGTAGCAAACCTGCCCTTACTATAAGAACTGGGTTCTGATTTTCTTCTCCAGTACAAGATGCCAATGTTAGGTTTATAATCTGTTAGATGGCTTCAGCATTAGAAATACTTGGTTCCCAAAGAATCTGTTTCCCTTTTAGTACCTTACCTGAGGTCTTGTAGAAGATAATGTGGGAAACCAATACATATTGGAAGCCTATTTTGGCTAATCTTTGCAAACTCTGGTAATACCTACTTGGATTACTCTTTCCAACACTACTTTCATTTTTTTTTGTTGAGTATAAAGACTTAGAAGGCTATAATAATAATTCTATAAATAATTAAAAATATGATACTCTTTTTTTCTTTTTAGAATTCTGTACTTAAACAAGACTTCTTTTTAAGTGTTGTTTAAAATGTAACTCTGGCTACCAAATCAAAAACTCATGGCATAAAAAGGGCAATATTTGTGTTCTTAATTCTTTTTAAAAGAGCTTTATGTATAATCTATAAATATAGATATATAGACAATACTTCCCCTTGAGTTGCACATCAACATATAGCATTGTACATTACAATGAAAGTTTGTAACTTAAGGGTATTATATATAAATACATATATATCTTTGTAACCTTTATACTGTAAATAAAAAATTGCTTTTAGACTTGTATTTTTTTATTTTTAAAAGTATTGAAATATTTTCAAACCTACAAGAATGTTTCAAAAACAATACAAAGAACATCTATATCACCTTCACCAAAGTTTTCCAAAAATTAACATTTTTCACCTTTGTTCCATTACCCCGCCTTGCCTTTCTAACAAGATACTCGATTACCCCTGAATTCTCCCCTGTGTATCTTCAAAACATAACGACACTCCCTGCACTGCCACCATGCAGCCGTCCCAGTCCATCAGGAAATCAACACTGGTACAACCCTCCCACCCCCTCCATAGACTCCATCAGATGGTGCCAGTTTTCGCAACAACACCTCCCTTTCCTTTGTGGCTTAGGATGCTATTCCAGGGCCACAGGCTGCTTCTGGTGGTCTTGTCTAATCAGTGTCTTCAATCCAGAAGCGTTGCTCAGTCTCACCCTAGTTCTACAGTTCCTGAGAGTCAACTCAGCCTTCTATCTGCCAGATGACCCTCCACTGGCTCCTAGTATTGCCTCAGGACCAAGTTGGGTTGCACATTCTTGGCAGGAGTACCATGAAAAGGAGGCCATGCTTTCAGAGTCTCATCCAATGCTTCTCCAAGCACTGGATGAGATTTGGCCAGTGGGAGCCCCTTGAAACTGGTTATTACGCCCTTATGCGGTGTCCCCATCACTTTCTCTCCTGCCAGTACAAGGGCTCATTTTGTACTTTGCCTTTAGCTGTTCCTCCACAGAGCCTTGAGGTTTTCTAATGTAGGGTGATATATAGAGACCAAGATATGGCTGGACATGGTGGCCTACACCTGTAAACCCAGCAGTCTGGCAGGCTGAGGCAGGAAGATCACAACCTTGAGACCAGCCTGGGCAACCTAGGGACTTAGCAAAACCCTGCCTCAAAAAACCAAAACATGAGGTTTGGTATGTTGAGCTGGGCATGGTAGTGCTCACCTGTGATCTCAGCACTCAGGAAGTGGAGGCAGGAGGATCATCTCGAGTTCAAGGCTATCCTGGGCTACACAGTGAGTTCAAGGACAGCTGAAATACATAGTGAAACCCTGTCTCAAAAAAAAAAAAAAAATGGGGATGTAGCTCATAGTAAAGGCCCTGAGTTCTATTCCCAGTACCACACGCACATATGCACACAAGCATGGAACTAAGATCTGAGTGTATGAGTGTTTTTATTCATTACCACAGAACAAGGTAAATGTGCAAAGCAAATGTGCATGAGTGTGTACATACAGAATTTATATTTCTTTTTTTAAAAATTTGAGACAGGGTCTTGCTGTCCTTATAACAAGTGTGCATAGAAAGAACAATGACTTTTTCTAGGAAATGATGGGTCCAGAGGCCTTGGTCACCCACTGGGGTGACTGATGTGTATCTAGGCTTCATTAGTTCAGGTGTTACCACTTATCTTGTCATTTGGGGAAGTATGCAGGCCTGGTCATTTTGTCTTTATCTTGAGGCGTGGTCTCCAATGGATGCATCTCCAGCCATGGTTGAAATGTGTTTTACCTTTGTCCTGGCTCTCTCGAGGACCTAGCCCTGACTGCCTATAATGTTTCTACCTAACTTAACTGTCTATAATACAACCTCTCCAGCTATCTTTCTGAGCTGTTTTTTTGGTTTGGGTGGTACTTTGGATTGAACCCAGAAGCACTCAACCACTGAGCTACATTGCTCATTCTATTCATTTGTTTATTTCATTTCTATTTTGAGGCAGGTTCTCCCTGTGTTGCCCAGGTAGGACTCGAACTTGCAATCCTGACTTCCTCAATGCAGGGATTACAGGCTTGTGCTTTCGCAGGCTCACCCTCTCTGGTTGGCCAACGACCGGAAAAACTGTGTGCTAGGCTTGCTTCTTACCCTGCTCTACACTCAGGAGCTCACACATCATTTCCATTCCTACAGGTGCCCACATGGGAGTTTCCAGCCCTCATATTTCTTCTGAGCTCCAGATGTACACATCCAACTGACACATTTTCATAGGAACCTTTCAAAGGTACCTCAGACTCATCATCTTCTTCACTCTCTGCCCCCAAACCTGTATTTTTTCAGTATCCCCATCTCAGTAGCAACAGCAGTCCAGGTTCTGAAGCCAGCAGTCATCTTGTCCCCTCCTCCCCCACTCCATATCCACTCTACCTCTGTTTTTGCTTGTTTTGTTTTTTTGGGACAGGGTCTCTCTATGTAGTCTAGTAGCCCAGGATGGCCTCAAATTCATGGCAATCCTCCTGTCTTAGCCTCTTGAGTGCTACTTCTGTTTGTTTGTCTGGTATTTTTCTTTGTTTTTTGAGAAAGGGTCTCACTATGCAGTTCGGGCTGGCCTCAAACTCAGAGCAATCCTCCTGCCTCAGCCTCCTGAGTGTTGGGATTACAGGTGTGTACTACCATGCCTAGATTTTAAATCCACTTCTAAATTCTTGACACTTGTCTTCCAAAACCTATCACTTTGCATCTCTCTTTGGCCCTCCAATCTTCCCTGCCTTTCTTCTGGAGTACAGCAGTAGCTTCATACTGCAAGAGCCTCCCATCCCTGCCATCTGTCTTGTTGTTGTTGTTGGCAGTACTGAGGATTGAACCCAGGACCTTCGCACTGAGCTACATCCCCAACCCTTTTTTATTCTGATTTTTTGGTTGGTTTTTTTGTTTGTTTTGAGATAAAGTTTCACTTTGTAGTTCAGGCTGGCCTTGAACTCCTGGTGATCCTCTGGCCTCAGCCTCCTGAGTGCTAGGATTATAGGCATGCACTACCACACCTGGCTCTTTTTATTTCGAGACAAGTCTCTAAGTCACTATGTTGCCCAATCTGGGTTTGAATTTGTGATTCTCCTGCCTCAGCATCCCAGAGTGCTCATATTACAGGAATGTGCCACCCTGCCTGGTTCTCCAGCCCTTTTTAATTTTATATTTTGAGACAGAGTCTTGCTAACTTGCTTAGGCTAGGCTTGAACCTGCTATCCTCTTGCCTGGGCCTTCCAGATTGCTGGGATCACAGGGATGCACCTCTATGCACAGTGCCTGGAGTCTTTATATATAGTATACGAGAATGTATATATTAGGGCTACTGCCATATATTTAAAAAGGAAAAACAAAACATAACCCCAAAACTCAAAAAGCAAAGCATTCATTTAAAAAAGAAAAGACTTTCTTTCCATTGCTCTTAGGATAAAATACAGAATCTTTACCACAGTCCTGGCCCCGCCCCACCTCCTCAGCATCCATGAGCCAGAGTCTGACTTTCCTCTTCAGCTACCTGAGCCTTCTAGTCTCTGCACCCTCTGGCCTCCGGGGGCTCTGGCAGTTGTTAGATCAACCTGGATTGTGCTTTCCCTCATTCCTTAGCCTCCACTTAGTGGGAGCTTTCCCTTGGGCGGGTTCTGGTAGAAGCTCACACAACACTCGGGCCTTGAGCCAGGGTGGCGGTGCATGCCTGTGATCCCACCACTCGGGAGGCTGGGGCAGGAAGATGGCTTGGAGTGCAAGGCCTTCCTGGGCTACATAGAGACCCCATCTCTAAACAACAAAAACAAAAAACCATACACATGGGCCTTCTCACGTGGGCCTCAACATGCTTATTCCTGATGAACATCCTCTTTCTGAGACTGTAACTCCCCTGGAACTGTCACGATCATTACTGTATCCCCAGAAGCCAGCACAGAGCTCAGTACACAGACGGTCCCATATTAAAGAGTGAATGAAAAAACATGAGCAATCTGCTGTGTAGAGCCCCCCAGATTTGAAGAAGAAAACACCTTCCTACGGAAAAAAAGTAGAGGATTTAATAATAAAAAAATAAAAGCCAGGGGCATTGACACATGCCTATAATTCCAGGGGTTCGGGAGGCTGAGACAAGAGGATCCAAGTTCAAAGCCAGCCTGGGAAACAGCGAGACCTCTAAGAAATAAAAAAGCAACCAAAACAAACCTGCCATTAGGAGTCACTGGCATCGTAACAGTTCCCAGAGTCTGAGGCCTCAATGGGAGCTAGGTACCTAGTTCATTCAGATAAAATAGGTACAAATTATCATACCCTGCTAAACTTCAGGAAACCAAACCTCTGGCAAGTTAGGTCTAGCTTGCTAGTAAAATCGCCCTCCAGGTGCCTCTTACTCTAAGCACCGCAGGACTTCAAAACTCTGCCCTAGCCGGGCCCGGCCTCAGCCCCGCCCCAGCCCCGCCCCAGCCTTTCCCGGCATGGCCACGCCCCTTACCCTTATCCCGCCCCCGCCCCGCCTTGGTCCCGCCGGCCGCGGGAGCACTGCCTGCAGTGTGGGACGTGGCCGCTAGGGGCCACCCGCGCGTCTCAGGCCCGACCGCTCTGGGCCGCGCTCCTCGCTCGTCCTCCGACTCGGCTCCGGTTGTGAGTGGCTTCCCTGCCCGCGCCCAGCGCCGACCCGCCGGGCTCCTCCTGCCGGACCCAGCATCTCGGCTCTCCGGGGCCGGACCGAGGCCGCCAGCAGCGCCGCGGGGTGTGGGGCGGACCCAGGAGATGAAATGACAACGTCAACCCTCCAGGTACCTCAGCGCGGCCCGGCGGGCTGCGGAGGCCAAAAGCGATGCGGCGGTGCCTGCGGGCCGCGGATCGGGCGGGCGGCCTCCTCAGACCTGGCCTCCGGGCCCCGCCGCCCTCCACCGTTTCTCTTTCCACGCGCTCGCAGCCAAGGGGCGTCCCCAACCCTGGTCCCCGGGTCTTCCGGCTGGCGGAGCCCGGAGGCCGCTGCGTGCAGCCAGCCCCGCGGACACCTGACTGCAGCCCCTCGCGGGCGGGTGGCCGGCTCGGCCTGGTAGCATGGGTCGCTCTGGGTACAGGCGCCGCCCCCTCGCGTCGCGAGCCCTCTCAGCCCCCTGGCGCCCCGCGGACCACCCCAGCTTCTTCCCTGGGGTCCGACTCTCTCTCCTCAGCCAGCGACCCTTCATTCATTCCGTGCACCGTGCGGAGATGTGGCTACGGTGGCGCCGCCCGGATGAGAGACAGCCAGTCCTTCAAGTGCCGTCAGAAAACATAAATACGCTCAGATCTGAGACCCGGGTTTGAACCCCAGCCCTGCCACTCACTAGCATGTGACCTTGGACAGTGTTTTTGATCTTGGAATCGGATTAATCTCAGCTATAAAGTGGGGCAGTGGTCTGTATGATTGTTATGAGATGGCTTAGACTAATTCAGGTAAAGCATTCTTAACAAAGATCTGATACTTCGTAAGTGCCCACTAAGCCATGGCAGATCAAGTAGGAGACTAGGGGAGTCAGGCAAGACTTCGTGGAAGAAGGTGTGGAGCATGGGTAGCTTTCAGAGACTGGGTGAGGGAGGAGGGATGGTCGCAGGTGAAGGAACAAGTATGGAATAAATTAGGCTAGTAGCTAGATGGACTCCAAAGCCAGACCGGAACATCCACAAGCATAACCTCTGATCTGTTACCACCATGTCAGCAAACTTCAGCCTGCAGTAAAAATGTTTTTTGGTTGGTTTGTTTGTTTTTTGGTACCGGGGATTGAACTCGGGTCCTTGCGCTTGCGCAACAGTAAAAATGTTTTTTTTGGGGGGGGGTTCCCACCTGGTTCTGAGGACTGAACCCAGGGCCTTTGCACCTAGCTACACCCCCAGCCCTTTTTATTTCTTATTTTTTTAGACAGTATCTCACTAAGTCTCTGAGGTGCCCAGGCTGGGCTGGAACTTTCGATTCTGCTGCCTCAGCCTCCCTGTGTGCTGGAATTATAGACATGCACCACTGCGCACAGCTTTTTATAGATTTTAAAAAACAGCTTTATTGAGATACAACTTACATACTATGTAATTCACCCATATAAAGTGTACCCTCTTTTTTTTGGCAACAGGCATCAAACTCAGGACCTTGCGCTTGCGAGGCAGGCGGTGGAACCACTGAGCTAAATCCCCAGCCCAAGTGTACCCTTTTTTGAGACGGTCTCCCTGTGTAGTTCGGACTGGCCTCAAACTCAGTGATTCTCCTGCCTCAGCCTCCCAAGTGCTGGGATTACAGGCGTGCGCCACCATGCCCAGCAAAGTGTACAATTTAATGCTTTTAGCACAGAGTTGTGCAACCATCACTACAGTTGCTTTTTAGAACATTTTCATCACCCCCCCAAAAAAACCTTTACCCTTTAGCCGTCATTCCCTGATCCTTGATTGCTCCCAGCCCAAGGCAACCACTAATCCGCTTTCTAGCTCTATAAATTTCTGTTCTGGGCATTTTAGGTAAATGGAATCATACAATATGTGGTCCTTCATGATTGGCTTCCTTAACATATCAGCTTTTACTTTTTTAAAAATGGCCAGGGGAAAAACAAGACTATTTCATGAATTTGAAATTCAAATTTTAGTGCTCATAAATAAAGTTTTATTCACCTGGGATTTAGCTCAGTGGCACCACTCCTGCCTCAAAAGCGCAAGGTCCTGAGTTCCATCCCCGGTACCAAAAATAAATAAATAAAGTTTTATTGGAATAAATCCCACCTCATTCATTAACATATTATCTGCTGCTGCTTTTGTGCTACAAAGGCAGAGTTGGATAGTTGCTACAGAAATTGTATTGCCTGGCAAAACCTAAAATATTTGCATAATGTCTGGTCCTTTATAGAAAAAGTTTGCCAGGCCCTCTGTTACTGTGCACACATAAGTACTGGGAAGCAAACCCAGGGCCTTCACACTGAGCTATGTCCCCAGCATCACCCTTCTTTTAATTTTTAATTTTAAGACAGAGTCTCACTAAGTTATTGTGCCCAGGCTAGGCTTGAACTTGCAGTCCTTCTGCTTCAGCCTCCTAGAGTGCTGGGATCACAAACATGCACCACCACACCTGGCTTGCACATTTTTATTACCTTTTTCCTTTATTTTCATCCTTTGCCTTATGTGTTACTAGAGATGTGGCAGGGTGGCAGTTTTATTTGTCGCCTTACTCTCCTGTTAGGCAAAACTGTTTCTCCCCACAAACACTAAAGGTTCCTGCATGTGAAAAACTATTGGTTGCCAGAAAAAAATGAATAGAGTGTTAGAAGGAGAGAGGGAAGAAGCCAGACTCAGACAAATATCAAATGTCCTCCTTATTATGTGGAATCTAAAAAAGATGACATGAAGAGAGACTATTATTAGACAAGAGGAAGGGGATACTGTAAGAAGGGGAGATTACAGGAGGGTAATGGGATGAATATGATCACTGTATATGCAGTGAAGGCCAATATTTGTAAAATTTATAGGCACTAATAATGAAGAGGAGAGAGGAGGTGGGCGTGCTCTGTTCCATGGAGGGAGCACATACCTCCAGTTTTACTTTGAGTCCCCACTGCAAGAGAACAGACCCACGCAAGAAGTAGTATGGTAAGCTGGGCATAAGGGCACACACCTATAATCCCAGCACTTGGGAAACTGGGGCAGGAGGATCCCAAGTTGAAGCACAGCCCGAACTACATAGTATAGAGCCAGAGTGGACTACAGGACTGTCACACACACGTGCGCACGCGCACACACACACACACACACACATGCACAAGAGGCAGGACAGAGGGAAAGAGTCCAAGGAACTCAGGTGTGTGTGCTAAAGAATGAAGCCACCAGGACAGCAGCGCTGTCTCCATGCCTTATCTGAGGGGCCGTCAAGGAAAGAACAGACAGGTGAAGCTTGTGTGTGAACTGATCATCCAGGGTTCAGGAGTCTCTCTGGAGGGAAAGAAGCCTGATGTAACCAACACTTTTTTTCCCCCCTCACTATGGGGAATTGAACCCAGGCCCTTGAGTGTGCTAGGCAAGCACTCCCCCACTGTGCAAGGGCCCCAGCCCTTGGTACTTTTTCTTGTTTCATCAATCTAGTGAGTTCCCCTGACATCAGCCTGGCTTGCCTCGCCAGCCTATCAGTTTTGCACAGGTACCCGTGTGCCTGTTTCTCTGGCACTTCTTACCTGCAGGTGGGGAAGGGCTAAACAAAAGCCCTGGCCCCGCCAGGAGGTGGTCAGGAGAATTTTGTTTGCTGTGGCTAGAACTGGGCCGCACCAGATGGAAGAGGAGGATTCTGGGTGGCCTGTGGGCTAGCTGTGGTTTCTAAAACCATATGTGTAGGTGCTTCCAGTTCAGCACAGGGCCTGCAGCATTTATCAGACTCTCAAAGGCCAGGCTCACTCTCTCAGAGTTCTTAGAAGTTCCAGGGCGCAGTTCCCTTGACTGACAGCGAGCATATGCCCCTTGAGTGAGCAAGTACTGTCCTGACTGCAGCTGCTGGTGTGTAGGTGAGCCCTGTGGCTCAGCCTCCCTCCAGGTGTTAAGACAAGACAACTGAAGTGACTTGAGCTGGGCCAGTAGAAGGGAAAAGAGATGCTTTAAGTCCATCTCTTTTTTGTGGTACTGGGGATCGAACCCAGGGGTGCTCTACCGCTGAGCTACATTCTGGGACTTTTTCTTTTATCCTTTTTAAGCTGATGCATTGGCAAAAGGTCTGAGGCTGTTACTGAGTGCAAAGGCCTTGCGTTCAATTCCAGCACTACGAAAGAGAGCCAGGGATTTAGCTCAGTGGTTTCGCTGCCTGCTGCGCAAGCACAAGGACCCGAGTTTGATCCCTGGTACCAAAAAAAAAAAAAAAGAAAGGAGAGAGAGATAGGGAGATAAGTTGGTAGATATCCATCTATCTCTTGGGTCAAAATCCTAGGGTTGATGTAGGACTTTCCCTGCTGGCTGGCTCTTCTCTGCCCCAGGCCAAGAGCGATCTCTGGCTTCTTGTTTCAGGTGTTTCCCCTCACAGTTCTGGCTCTTTTTTCCCTGAGGCAGTGAAGTAGGAAGTCCTGTGGATTCATTCACCTTGAAGGCTAAGCCCGAACACTAAGTCAGGGTTCCACTGCTGGACTCCAGGGCGAAAGCTGGAAGGAGGCTGCCTGGAACTGTCCACTCTCCCTGTGAAGAGGGATGGCTGTCTTCAAACTTCCTTTTAAAGCCTTTCTAGTTGATGTCTGAAAAGTAGGGCAACATAATGGCCTGCGACCAATAAATCCACAGGCCACAGGCCTGGCACCGTCTCTTGTTAATCTCATCCTGTTGCTTGGGAGGCCTTTCTGGATCTCCTGGGAAGCACTGAGCTATTTGCCTTGCCCTTCCAGAAAGCCATTGATCTGGTGACGAAAGCCACAGAAGAGGATAAAGCCAAGAACTACGAGGAGGCGCTACGGCTGTACCAGCATGCCGTGGAGTACTTCCTGCACGCCATCAAGTGTGAGTCACTCAGGGTCATGGGGCTGTGGGAGAGGAGGGCACCCGGGGCTCATGGAGCCACTCTGCATCCCTTTTGCAGATGAGGCTCACAGCGACAAGGCCAAGGAGAGCATTCGAGCCAAGTGCGTGCAGTACCTAGACCGGGCAGAGAAGCTGAAGGATTATTTAAAAAACAAAGAGAAACACGGCAAGAAGCCAGTGAAAGAGAATCAGAGTGAGGGCAAGGGGTGAGTATGTGAAGCACGCAGCTGGGCTCTGAGCCCTCTTCATGTGGCACTGCCATTCTCGATGCCAGGGTTACCTTGGCCTTGCATGGCACCCATACTGTGGGAAATTCTATTCCTAACCATGATGCTAGCGGCTGCTTTCATTGGCACTTCACAAAGTATGTCCCTGTGTCATCTCACTGATATGCATAGAAAAGCCTGGGGAGGGGTGACCAGCCTTGACCTCTCATAGCCCTGCTCTCAGGTTAGAGCTTGGCTCTGCCTCTGGCTTGTCCCCTGAGGGAAGAAGAGGGAGCTCTCTTTGCCCCTAGCACTGCTGTAAGGAGCAGAGGGGATGATGTGACAGAGCCTCAGAAGGTAGCTTGGCACATGGTGAGCGCTTACTAAATGCCAGCTGCTGTTACCACAAAGGAGCATCCTCACTACAGGGGAAGAGGTGTGGCCAAGGTCACAGAGCCAGACACGATCCATCTGACCCCTAGCCCTGGCCTCTGATTCCATAGCCGGCATCTCTCCACAGCCTGTCACTTCAGGCCTGTGCTTTGCCCACTAAGGTGAAGCCAGTGAACTTCGCACAGGGCTCAGTGGTGTTCTGGAAGCCAGGGGAGGGAGGGAAATGAATGGTGGCCACCTCAGTGAGGCAAGACTTTCTCCTGGGCAAAGAGTGCACACTTGTGGTCTGATTCCCAGGTGAGAGTGTGCTGAAGAAGGGACAGGAGATCCAGAAGAGTTTTGAGGATGACAGGTGATGTCAGGATAGAAAGTGGCCATTAGAATCAGAGCACATCCTCCTATAGAGGTGTTTTGTTTTATGTGTGTTACTGGGATTGAACCAAGGGATCAAACATAGTGCTAAGCAAACTTAAGGAATAGCTCTAAGTGCCGAGCTGCATCACCAACCCTTTTTATTTGTCATTTTCAGACAGTCTCTAAACTGACCAGGTTGGTGTCAAACTTAGAACTCTCCTGAGTTGTTGGAATTATAGGTGTGCACCTAGCACTGGCTTCCCCTTTAGTTTGCATGTGCACATGTGTGCATGGTACTAGGGAATGAACCCAGGGTCTTCACATTGAGCTACCTCCCCAGCCCTAAGGTTCTCACTAAGTTGCCCAGGCTGAGTTCAAACTTGGGATCCTCCTGCCTCAGCCTCCCAGAATGCTAGGATTATAGATGTGCCCAGCTTTCCTCATTTAGTTTCTTCTCGGTCCTTTGGACTACTCTGGAGTCACGGCCATGCAGTATCTTTTTCAGTTCTATACAAAAGTTTCCTGATAGCTATGTTTGCTTGATCAGCTGCTCTTGAACTCCAGCCAAAATATATTTTCCTTTTCAGCCCTCAGAGAGGGCAGACTTCCGTACCAGAATTCCCTTAATGCAGAAACCACGATGGGTTGTTACCATGTTTGCTGGAGGAGAGCATGTGGCCCTGATATCTGCAGGTCCTGACCTGCTCACCTGTCCCTCGGCAGAGCTGAGCTGGAAGTCTTCCTCACCTGAGTGCTGGTGGCAGGGCCCAGCCTCACTCATAGCCTTCTTGCTCCAGGCCGAGGACCAACTTGTGATCTTCTGTTTCCTCTCTCAGCAGTGATAGTGACAGCGAAGGGGATAATCCAGAGAAGAAGAAGCTGCAGGAGCAATTGATGGGTAAGAAGCCTGAGGCCACGTGGCCCTATGAGGGGCTGGCTGTAGGGTGCTGTGTGTCAACTCCTGCTCATGGCCAGCTTCCGGGCTGCCTTGCTGCTACAGGTGCTGTTGTGATGGAGAAGCCCAACATACGGTGGAATGATGTGGCTGGGCTGGAGGGTGCCAAGGAGGCCCTCAAAGAAGCTGTCATTTTGCCAATTAAATTTCCACACTTGTTCACAGGTAAGAGCTGAGCCCTGAAGGTGCAGATGTAAATTCAGGCTACTGTGGGAGCCAGCATGGGGTCCACCCTGAAGTGTTCCAAAGCAGATGGCTTTGGCAACCTTGGCCCGCAGGGGATGGGGCCTGGCCTCACATGTGTGCTGTTGGTAAAGGCCACAGGCCTGCTCCCCACCGTCATGTATGCCTCAGCTATTGCTGGTATCAAAAACACTTGTGGGGTAGTATGTAGCTCAGTGGTAGAGCGCTTGCCTAGCACGCACAAGGCTCGGCATTCACTCCCCTTCCCTGAAAAAGGAAAAGAAAACATTTTTGTGACTGGAACTTTGAGGTGAGCATCATTCTGGGCGGGGTGGGGGGCGTTAGGCACAATGGTCAACAGGGGTTAGGACTGTGCTCTCAGCAGTTCCTTCGGTCCCTTCACACCTTTGCTTGTAGGATTAGCTGTTTTATAGAACTATTTCTTACTGTGTTTACAGTGGCTGAAGACCCAACCCCCCCTTTTTTTTCCTGTCTCCCCAGTCAGGAAGAAGCTGACATGGGTTTATTCTTTATTGCAGGAAAGCGTACCCCTTGGCGAGGGATACTGCTCTTTGGACCCCCTGGCACAGGGAAATCATATCTGGCCAAAGCTGTGGCAACAGAGGCCAACAACTCCACCTTCTTCTCTGTGTCCTCCTCTGATCTGATGTCTAAGTGGCTGGGGGAGAGTGAGAAGTAAGTCAGCCAGCTGTGGTGGTCCAGCTTCCCTGCCCCTTGGGGTCATCCCCAGAAGAGCTGGGACAGTAGCAAAGACAGTGAGATTGGGCCAGCTTTTTGGCTGGGACTCTGTCCTGACGGACTGGTGAATCTGGAAGGGAACCTGGGAGAGATGGAGTACTCGAGAAGGAAGGGAAAGGTACCAACAGGTCCGCCGAGGATCTCCTGTTAGGGGACTGGATACATTTACCTGTTCCCCACACTGGCTCCCATTTGCACATGAGGAAAGTAAGGCTCAGAGGAGAGGAAATGACTTGTCCTGAGTCCAGAGCTGATGATCTGAAACGATCCCAAGGCCTGCCCTTCCCCTTGGTGCAGAGGATTTGTCACCACCATTTTTCCAGTGGGAAGGGCAGGGGAAGGGGTGACTAGAACTCGGTGGGTTCTTGCATGGCCGGATCCTAAGCCACTGTCCCCTCCCAGGCTCGTGAAGAACCTCTTTGAACTGGCCAGGCAGCACAAACCCTCCATCATCTTCATCGACGAGGTGGACTCCCTCTGTGGGTCTCGAAATGAAAATGAGAGCGAGGCTGCCCGGAGGATCAAAACAGAGTTCCTGGTCCAGATGCAGGGTGCGTCCCAGTCCTGGCTGTCCCCCTTGGTTATGGCTCTAGCTAAAGCCAAGTCAGGATATCACTGTTTTGCCATGGCTGGATTTGATTGTCCTGGGGTGGAGGAGAAGCACCTTGAGGCTCCGTCTTGAGGTCTCAGGTGGGCTTTCACTGCAGAGGTTCCTGAGGCCCCTGCCGGGCAGGCAGCTTTTCAGTCTCTTCGCCCTGCCACAGCCAGACTAGTTTCAGTCAGGACCCTGAGAGTGGTGGCACAAGGATGGCTTCAGGTGATGACACACAAAGCCCCAGGGTCTGTCCATCCAGCAGGTTCTGACTGACCCTGCAGGTGTCCTCAGATTCTGTGTCTCCCTTCTCCACAGGGGTGGGGAACAACAACGATGGGACTCTGGTTCTTGGTGCCACAAACATCCCCTGGGTGTTGGATTCGGCCATTAGAAGGAGGTGAGTCTTCCCCAGCAGGGACGGGACTGCAGTCTCCTCCCACTCAGGGCAGTCTATGGGTGGACCCAACCCCATTCTCTGCAGTCCTACAGATCTGCATGGCAAGCAGAGCCCTCAGTGAAGCCAGTTTCTTGAGGGCCTTGGTGCCAGCATTGCAGGCCTAGAACTGCGTCTCATTTCAGTCTCCGTGCTGCCCTGCCATTAATGCCATTCAGTGATTTGCCTCATTCCTGCCATGTCCTTTGCTCTCTAGGTTTGAAAAACGTATTTATATCCCATTGCCGGAGGAAGCTGCCCGTGCTCAGATGTTCCGGTTGCATCTGGGGAGCACTCCCCACAACCTCACAGATGCCAACATCCACGAGCTGGCCCGGAAGACAGAAGGCTACTCGGGTGCAGACATCAGCATCATTGTGCGGGACTCCCTCATGCAGCCCGTCAGAAAAGTCCAGTCAGCAACGCACTTCAAGAAGGTGAGTGGTGCTGGGCATAGTGGTGCATGCCTATAATCCCAGCACTCTAGAATGCTGAGGCAGGAGGATCACAAAATTAAAGTCCAGCCTGGGCAACTTAGTGACTTAGCAAGACCCTGTCTCAAAAATAAAAAAGATGTTGGGGATGTGGCCCAGTGTCAAGGCCCTGGGTTCAGTCCCCAGTACCCTCCCCAGTTCCCCAGCAAAGGAGGTGAGTGGTGAGGAAAGCTTAGACAGTGTCACTAGAATGAGGGTTCATCAGTTTCCCTGGCTCCTTAGGGGACTCATCCTCAGTCTCCCGGAGAACCAGGGCAAAAGCTAGGGGGCAGGGCTGTACCTGCCCCACCTTCCCTGCGGCTGACTGTCTCCAATTATGAGAAAGCAGAGGACAGAGCAGTATTTTCACAGTTCTGCAGCCTCCTCAACTTCACTGTGCCTGTGGGCAGGGTGCACAGCAAGAAAATGCTTGAAAAGCACAGGTCTAAAGTAGAGATTTGCTGGGCGTGTTGGTGAACACCTATAATCCCAGCACTTGGGAGGCTGACGCAGGAGAATCACCATGAGTTTGAGGCCAGCTTGGTCTACATAGTGAGGTCAAGGCCAGCTTGAACTATATAGCGAGACCCTGTCTCCAAAAAACCTAAATTAAAGTGGGGATTCACCCAGTTATTCAGGAGATCTCGGGGTGGGGTGGCGGGGGTACCAAGAATCAAACTCAGGGCTTTGCACTTCCCAGGCAGGCACTGTGCCATTGAGCTACATCCCCAGCCTATCAGGAGATCTTTTGTCGAGTCTCCTGTGGGTCCACTATGTGCCTGGCATTGTTGTAGGCACTGAGGAGACATTAGTGACCACAGGAAAAAATCCTCTGCCTTCCAGGAACCTCCCTTCAGCTGAGCATGGTCATGGCACATGCCTGTAATCCCAGCACTCAGAGGCTGAGGCAGGAGGATCACCATGAGTTCTAAGGCCAGCCCAGGCTACATAGTGAGTTCAAGACTAGCCTGAACTATGAAGCTAGTCCCTATCTCAAAAAAACAAAACAAAGCAAAACAAAAAACCCAGGAACCTCCCTTCAAGTAAGGTGAGACAGACAGATAAAAGCTGGCTCCTTAAAGGATGATGACAGGGAGCCATCAGGGGTAAGGAAGACCAGGAACTCCTGAGGTTTGGAGGGGTGTGCAGGTTGCACTGTTAAAAGACAGGCCTTACACTGGCATTCTAGGCACGAACTGGAGGAGATGAGGGAAGGAGCCTGGGGCTGCTGGGCACATGTTTTGCCAGTGCTGCAGATTTTAGAGGGAAAGGCATTTTTGCTGCAACTGCAGTTGGGTAAGACTTGGTGAGATCAACAAGGAAGGTGAGAAGTTGAGATTCTGGAGACCAGAGGCTGGAGGGGTACCTGTCAACGAGCTGTTGAAGTCAGACTGGAGCCATTTTGACCACTCAGCTCAGGAGTTTTGAAGAAGCCTGTCCCTGCACCGGCTCCAAAAAATCTAAAACCCCACCACCCCCTCTCTTCAGGTTGCCCTTGGAAATCTGAGGTGTCCTGTCCTCACTCTGAGGGCACTACACCAGGCTATCAAACTCCTGCTAAGTTTCAAATCCTACTTGGTTTCAGGTCTGTGGCCCTTCCCGCACCAACCCTAGCATTATGATCGATGACCTCCTGACTCCATGCTCACCAGGGGACCCAGGAGCCATAGAGATGACTTGGATGGATGTCCCTGGTGACAAACTCTTAGAGCCTGTGGTTTGCATGGTAAGTAACCAGCTAGGTGGGAGGACCTCGGAGCCAAGAAAACAGGGACTGGTCCAGGAATAAAACAGCTGTTCTCCTTCAGTGTCTTGGGATCTCACGGCTCCTTTGAGACAGAGTGGCCTTTGCAGGTTTGGGTAGCTGAGACTCCTGCCAAGACAGAAGCATTAGCGTTTGCATTTTCTGTTCTTCAGCAGAAGAGTAAAGTCCACACAATAAGACTCTGTCGTTCTTGAGGTTTGGGTTATTTGATCCAGAAGGAAGGGGTAAAGTTATGTCAGTGTGGTTGGATTTGATGCAGTGGCAAAGGCAGCCTCTTGCCCAAGTAGTCTGAACCTCTTGTTTTCTAGTCTTGCCGGTCGCAATGCCCATTCTTCCTGGCAGATATCTGTGCTGGGATCACTGTGGTGGGCATACAGTTGAGGAGGCTACAGGTGGGAGTTGCGAGAATGGAGCCTGGGTTCTTTAAGAAGGGAAGATGGCCTTCAGGAAATGATATGCCAACTTCAGGAAGAAAGTTCCATGCTGCAGACAGGGTCAGCAGGGCAGCTGGAGGGCATTCTGCAGTGTATGTGTGTAGGGTGGCTTCAAAGGCAGGTCTTTTGCCACCTGGGCAGCACCGCAGTGCAAGAGGGTAGACTGAGGACCGGGCCTGGCTGCTTCTCAGCTACATGCTCTTGCCTTTGCAGTCCGACATGCTCCGGTCTTTGGCTACCACCCGGCCCACGGTAAATGCAGATGACCTCCTGAAAGTGAAGAAATTCTCAGAGGACTTTGGACAGGAGAGTTAAAAGCTTCTTCACGTGGGTGATGGTGAAGGTGGGAAGTAGGCTGGGGTAAATCTACGGCACTCCCCAAGTCAGTGGCCAGACAGGGCTGCAGGGCTGCCTGTAGTCATTGCAGCGGCTCCTCCACCATCTGACTGCCAGCCAGGGAGGAGGAAGGAAGGCCTCACAGCGCAGATACTCCGCTGCACGTTCTGCACTGGGTGGACACTGGCTCTCCCTACTTCTGTCTCCTGGATGCTTACTGACTCCTTTCCCTGCCCCCCCTTTTTTTTAACCTTTTTTTGGTTTTGTTTCCCTAAATTAATTCTGCTTTGATTTCTGTCTTGTTTATAAATTTAAAAAAAATCACCTAGTAGTGTCAAGGAGGGGGAGCAGCCAGGCCCCCTGCCCCTGCTCCTTTTGTGCCCAACTTTGGCCCTTGGAGAACAGACTGATGAAAGTAAGAAAAGCCATTCCCACCCTCCTGGTTTGCATCCAGGGCCCATGTCTTCCTTGCAGGAGGAGGAGATGGTTTCTGTGAGCACAAAGCTGCTTTGATCAGAAGGCAGGCAGGCGGTCTTCACTGCTGCCTTCCTTCCTGGGTGTGAGAACACTGAGCCCGGCCACTGCCCCTGGGGCCTTGTCCTGGAGATGTCTAATAAATCCTTTTCCTTCTTGAACAACTGACCTCATTTTGACTCTTGTCTTGGCCTCTTTGAAGGCCACTCCTGCTTCCAATAAGACCCTCTGATTTTCTCCCTTCTCTCTTCAGAGTAGGAAGTTAGCAGTGCACACTCCTGCTGGTGTCCCCAGGCCTGCCTTCCAGTCACTTCCCTAACAGCCTGGAATTTGGTCTTTCTCCTTTTTTTGGCTTTGTTTTTGATACCAGGGATCGAACCCAGGACCTTGCACTTGCAAGGCAGGCATGGCACCATTGAGCTAAATCCCTGGCCCCGTATCTGTTGGTGGTATTTTTTTTTCTTTTTCAGTAGCAGAGATCGAACTCAAGACTTTGCACTTGCAAGGCAGGCGCCCTGGCCCTATGGCCTGGAATTTGGGCTGGGGATGTTTAAAAGAACCAGACAGCTTTTACTACTGTTGTGTCTAGACCAGAGACTGCCAACAAGGAGGCCTCTGGGGCAGATGTGGCCTGCAGCTGTTTGGACTAGTCAACATTTAAAATCCAGAGAGCTGAAATAAAAATTCGGATTTCTGGCTTCTGGAATATTAATGCTGGGCCTATATCCCTGTGAGGCAGCCTATTGGCTGCTGCTGCTGAGTAGGGGTCACCCTGCTTTGAAATAGACTCCGAACCCTGCTCAATTATGTTGCCTGCCAGGGAGCCATTGGAAGCAGTGACCCCTGACACCAAGCTCCAGAGCTGGCAGCCCTGGAAAGGCCATGTGATGAGGAGTAGGTGTGACAGAGATGCCATGTTCCTCCTGTGCACACAGAAGGGCCTCACATAGGAAACAAAGCTTGGAGCCTGGGAAGTGGGTATTGTACATATTCTCTCCCTCCAAAAATCAGTAATATTCTTGTTTTATTGGTGCTGGGGATTGAACCTAAGTGGCCATGAATGAAGTACAACTCTACCAGTGAGCTGTACTCTCAGCCCTAATTCTCTTATCTTTACAAACTGAATGGGCCAGAACTGATTCCATGCCCAGCTCTTAGATCATGCTGGCTTTGCACTGTGGTTTCTTTGCTCTAGTTAGGAGTAGCTGCTGACGTGAACTTCTGATCAACAGCTCAAAGGTTGGGCTGATTAGCCCCCTCCCAGAAAAACCTACATTTTGAAGCAGCATCAGACCTGACCTTAAGATGACATTTCTGCAGCAGTGTATCTAGGATCTTTGTCACTCTGGTGCTCTCACAGTTCTTGGTTAATTATGTGCCCTCAGCCCGTTTGCAAGATCTGGAATAAAAGGCCATCACCTGCCCCATGTGGGCAGCTTCACTTCACCTAGTTACGTTTTATAAATTTTATCCCAGTTTACTTGAGTCAGAAGGTTCTTGTCACCCCCACCACCCCCGTTCCAGGTATAGAACTCAGGATCTTTTGCTTTCCAGGCAGGCATGGTGCCACTGAACTAAATCCGCCCCCCGCAAATCTACCTCCTCATTTCCACTACTTAAGCACCTCGATAGGTCACAGGGATGACACAAACTTTAGAGCCATTATGTTCATCCTCTTGGCTCTAGATGAATGCTGACAAACACCTGCCTTTCCATTTGTCTCTCCATCATCAGTAGCAGGAAGCACTGCTAAGGCTGAACCCTCCTAGGAGTGAACCTATGGGCTTGGACCACCAGCACACGACCCAACATCATCTACAATAAACCTACTAACACGGGCAGAGGAACATCCTCCTTTAAATGCATTCTCTGCAAGTCACTTCTCACCAGGGAACTCTGATCTGAACTTTTGCCTGCATTGGCTTTCACTGCAGAAGTGGATTTCTGAAACTTTCCATTAGCTCAAGCTGTTGCTTTGTATGTGTGGCTTTTGTGGCTGATGCGCACTGTACCTACTTGGGTGGAAGAGACTTCCCTTACTGGAAATGGAAGGATTTGTTGCTGCTGATCAACATCACAAAAGCACCACTAAGGGGAACCCCTGAAGACTAAGGAAGCACCAGAATGTGGGAGGCCACAGGAGCTTGTGAACACTGTCCAAGTGAAAGGAGGCCCAACCAACTCCTTCATACAGACCTAGTACTTTCAGTGTAACAAGAGCTTTCTACAAACTTCTGAGAAGGCTGAGTCTCCAACTCCTCTCCAAAGTCTGACGAGCTGGAACCAGTTCTGCGTGGCTGCATGGACCTCTCAGAGAAAGCCAGAGAGAAGGGGTCTTCCCTGGGCTGCTATTTAAAACACTTCTCTCTGAGCAACTTAATGGACTTCCTACCACTTGTGCACTGTGATTCAGGGGATTTTGTTTTCCAATACCAGCTTCGGTAGCTGGAGTTACAGCTCAGCAATACTTAGCACACATGAGGCCCCAGCTTCCATCTCCAGCACCAAAAAACAAAAAACTGCTTCCCAAACTTCCATATAAAGATGGGATAAGACTTCTGGCGTTCCTTTGACATTTCCTTAAAGCCAACACTGTTGAGTGTGTACTAATTTGTCTTTCAAAATAAGTATGACCAGCAAGGACCTGTGCTGTGACAGAAAGGGGGCTTATCACTCCCTATCAGTTATCACTCCACCCATGCGCCATGGCCTCTGCCCAAGGAATGAGCCAACTACCAGCTGCCCAAGAGATTTCCATCTTTCCTAGTTTTGGAACTGTATCTGAGCCTGTTCAAATATATGGGTACTTAATTATATTAGTGCTATCATTAAATACATCTTTCAACTGGGACTACATTGTCCCGTGTTTTACTTCCACAAGGAACTGGTATCTAAGACAAACCAAAGACTTTAAGGTCAGACACACAAGCCCTTTGTAAAAAGAACTCAGAAGATGGCCAATCCCAGCCTTGCCTACATTTTTAAACAAACCTTTCAGATATTTGGGGACTACATTATCATCAGTCTTGGCACAGCAGTAGATTATACAGATCTTTTGAGATCATTTTTATTGAGCATGGTTATTTTCGTGTCCCACTTCTCTCCATACAGAATTGTCGGGAAATGCCCACTCCTTCAGGGAGCTATTTTTCTCTTCAAGTTGTAGGCAGTATTTTGTCCAGAGCTGATTTCAGGGCAAACATTTCCAGCGTCTTCCTCCGGCTGGGTTCAGCATGCTCTAACAGTTTACTATTTCTGGTCAGATTGGAGCCAACACCAGATTGAGGCCAAGATGTGTCAGCTCAAACTGAGGTGTTTGCACCTTGGTTTTCCAGATCCTCAGCCCTGGCAGGAAAGCTTCAGTCATTCACCTCCATCCAGTGGATGTTTGTAAACGTCCTGCTGTCCATTTTGTCAATGAACAGGCAGCCCTGCAAGTGGTCCATCTCATGCTGGATGATGCGGGCGGTCCAGCCACTTGCCTGCCACACCACCTGCTCTCCTCTTGGGTTCAGCCCTGCAAAGAAAGTTCCAAGCTGACTGAGGTGAGGCATGGTGAACTGCATCTTTCTCAACCTCTTTGCCCTGTTTCCTGTCCTGGACATTCCTATTTACAGGAGGCAACAGCAGAAAGCTAATGTATTAACTGGGCATGGTGATACATGCCTGTTAATCCCAACACTTGGAGGCTGAGCCAGGAAGATCTCAAGTTCAAGCCCAGCATGGGGAGCTTAACTCAGCATGAACCTGTCTCAAAATTAAAAATTAAAAAAAAAAAAAAAAAAGGCCTGAGGATGTAGCTTAGTGCAAAGGCCCTAGGTTTAATCCCCAGTACCCCTCCCCAAACCCAAAAGTGAATCTATGTATATATGGTATAGATACAGATACAGAACAGCACTTGAGCTGGGGTATAGTTCAGTGGTTCAGTGGAACAGTGCCTGCCTAGCATGTGCCAGGCCCTGTGTTCAACCTCTGACACCAAAGGGAAAAAAGGAAGATACCTTAACTCTGCCCATTCCCAAGCATTCAACCTGGTTCTCACCTTTCATAGGTTGGTGGGGTCACTATGGGGTGGAGATGAGAAATCCTGCTAAGAGGCTTTTCTCCGAACATCCCTCCACTCCACAAGACTTTCCCTAGTGCAGAAACTGAAGGGACACCATGGACCTCTGACCCTTTTGGACCAACTGGGTTGCTCATGAGGAACAATCATCCCAAACCCAGCAGAGCACCATACTCCACAGAACACCTGTGGTATGACAGGCATGCAACACATCGTCCGGGGTTGGCAAAGTTGGGTCCCACTTCTACAACCCCTCTGTGACAGATTGGGGAGAGGGGTGTGGAAGAGGAGGAAGGGGAGAAGGCCGCAGCCAGGAGTTGTGGCACAGATACACCTGTAAGCCCACCACTCTGGGAGGCTGATGAAGATCCCAAGTTCGTGCATGGGCAACTTAGCAATGCCCTGTCTCAAAATTTAAAAGGCTGTATTCTGCTGGGGATTTAGCTCAGTGGTTCCGCCCCACCTGCCTCGCAACCACAAGGACCCGAGTTCGATCCCCCGTACCAAAAAAAAGCTGTATTCCGAAGGCTGAGGTTGGAGGATCGTCGCGAGTTCAAAGCCAGCCTGGACTACACAGCGAGACCCTGACTCAGAAAAAGGCTGGGGATGTAGCTCAATGTGAAGGCTCTAGGTTCAATCCCCAGTACCACCAAAGAAAAACAAAGGCCAGGGTGGGAACTGACAACACCCAACCCGCGATTCACCATCCCACCCCATGTCTGTCTCCTCGGATCCTCCCTTCCCACAAGTGTGGTGCTGAGTTCCGCGCTTCTGCAGGAGCTCTGCGAACGGATCATCACTGCATTTGATCACGACGCCAGAGCGCTGGCAACCGCTTAGTGGGCTCCCAGGTGTCCAGTCCAGCCTACCCCACTGCCCGCACCTGAGATCTGCACTGCCTGGAAGCGAGGCACGTAGGCCAGGAAGCCGGCGACGCTCTCGCAGCCCTCTGGGAAGGTGACTAGGCTTCGGTCCAGCACGCGCAAACTGGGGTTCACGAAAACACGCAGCGGGAAGGGGTCCATCTGGCGGAGTTCGCGCAGGCGCGGCGCACAGGCCCGGAAGAGCTCTTCGGGGAGCTCCAGGGCCAGTACCTGCAGCGGCACCCCCAGCTGCGGCGCGCTCAGGCCCACGCAGCGCCGCCGCCGCATCACCTGCACCAGCTTCTGCACCAGCTTCTGCAGCTCCGGCCCCGCCAGCTGCGCCGGCTCCACTGGGGCCGCCACGACCCGGAGCACCGGGTCTCCGACCTGGCACACGTGCGCGTAGGGCGGCCGCGGCGCTCCCTGTATCAGGCGCCTCACGTAGCACCAGTAGGAGCGCGGGCGCGCCTGGCCCTCCAGGCCGTCTGCGGAAGCCGAAGAGCTGCAGGCCCGGACACCGCCCGCACGTGCCCGCAGCAGTAGAGTCTGCAGCAACCCGACCCCTAGCAGAGCCATGGCGCGCAGAGGAACCCGGGGTCCCGCCCCTTCCTCCAGCCGCCGGGTCGCCGGAAACGCACTCCCACTTGCCTTCCGGGACTCGAGCCTCATACCCAGGTTGTGACCACTGGTCAAGTTTATTGTCATCCAGCCTCCTACTAGAGCAATCGAGATACCCCCATGTGACTATTCCCCGACTACATGCTCCCAGTGACCCCTCGAGCCTTCCCTGGGCGCGGTAGTCCCTGCCTTAGGAGCTGGCCCCCAGCCTGCGCAGGCTAAGGCTCCACCTTGGGGATGCCCAGCGCTAGCTAAAGCTCTACACTGGGGGGCTCAGCCTGCCGCGGCTCCCCCTCTGCCAGCTCCTGGGGCAGCTCCAAGGGCTCCATCTCCGCCGCCTCACTCTCGGGGCAGGCTGCTGCTGGAGGCTCCAGGCTGGGCTCCTCAGCAGGCAGCTCTGGTGCCGGAGCCATGAGCTCAGGCACTGGCCCCTGGTCTAGAGAGAAGACCGTCTCTCTCTTAGGCAGAATGAAGGCAAGAAGCTCCTGGACCATGTCGACGTTCACATGCCCAAGGTTTCCGTACTTGGAGAGCTGAGCGGGTGGAATGCCTGACAGGTGACAGGGAAAGAGAAATGGAAAAACATTAATGAGAGGTAACACAGGGCCGGGGATTTAGCTCCTGGCAAGTGCAAGTTCCTGAGTTCAATCCTCAGTGCCAAAAAAAAAAAGTCAATACAGATGTGTCTCACACACACAGAGGAAGGAACAATTACGTAAGGATGTGGTGGTGGTACATTCCTGTAATCCCAACACTGTGGGAGGCTGAGGCAGGGCACAAGTTTGAGTCCTGCCTGGGCAATTTAGCAAGACTTTTAAAATTTTAAAAAGGAGGGGGACTAGGGCCGGGGATTTAGCTCACTGGTTTCACCACCTGCTGTGCAAGAGCAAGGACCCGAGTTCGATCCCCACTACCCACCCCCGAAAAGGAGGGGGACTTGGGATGTATCTCAAAGGTAGAGCACCCTGGGTTCAATCCCCAGTACTGAAGTGTTGAAAATGTTATAAAGTTGGATGGTGGTGAGCCAGGGATTTAGCTCAGTGGGGCCCACCTGCCTCCAAAGTGCAAAGTCCTGAGTTCGATCCCCAGTACAGGGGGAAAAAAAAGTTGGATGGTGGTAATGGTTGCACACCTCTACATTTACAGAAAAACAGTGGCCTATGCAAATGGGTGAATTATTTACTTATGTGGATTACATACAAGTAAAGCAGTTTAAAAAACTTCTCTTACCTAAAGTCTGTGCTATCTGAGCTGGTGGGAAAAGGACTTGAAGACAGCGATTTAAATAAGGAAAAAGATCTTCCAGGAAAACAGTGCAGAACTGGATGAAGAGCTCTTGCTCCCCACTACTGAAGGCAGCCTCTTCAGCACGATGGAAAGCCAGAATTATTTTAGTTACCTAGGAGACAAGTGTTATGGCTTGTGTCTAGATGTCCCCCCAAAGCCTCATGCAGTCATTGGTGGGGCTTTTCAGAGATGGCTGGATCTAGAATGTGTGACTGATTCACGGTGCAATGCTAGGATTAAGGGTGGGTGATTACTAAATCATTCCACTGACTGGTTTGGCACCACCCTAATCCTGGTAGCTGGATAGAATATAAGGGACAGAAAGAGGCTTGTCTTGTCCCTTGCTTGCATGCTTGGCTACCTTCTGCCCACCATTAACTGTTTCTCCTCTGCAATGCCCATCTGCCATCCACTCTGCCTTGGAGTCAGCCAAATATGGACTGAAACTTCTACAAACTGTGAGCTTAATAAACTTTTTCCCCTTTAACTTTGGGTGTCAGGTATTTTGTCTCAGCAATGAGAGAAAAGTAATTAATACAACAAGAACACCATCAAGGGCTGGGGCTGTAGCTCAGTAGAAGAGGATGCACAAGGCCACCCCGAGTTCCATCCTCACGTCTGCAGGGAATAAATCCATTGCTGGGGCAGTGCATGAAATAAGCACAAAGGGGCAGCCCTCAAGTTTTCATGAAGAAAAGTCATTCTGTTATTCCTAGCAGTACATTACTATTTTGTTTAAACTCAGCATTTAGTCAGTCTTCACAATTCTGTCACTTCCACGATGTATTTCTGACCCAACTTGCCTCACTAACAGTTCCCAGTTCTAGTGGAGAAGCATCATGAAATTATTCAGAGAACACCGGGGTTTTGATGCCCATGGTGGCTGGACCAGGCCTGTGATAAATGCAGGAAAATGAAGCAGTTGACTTTGAACTGATTGAGAAGAATATCCTGGATGGGTGTGACTCAATAACCCTTTTGAAAAAGGTACATAAAAAAGACTCAAACTGGGAAGATGCTCTCCTGCAGGCAGAAGCAGCCATGCTTCGGGCTCCTGCGGAGGGGATGCCTCTAGAAACTAAGGCTCTCAGTCCTGTGACCTCTGCAGCTGCACAGAATGAAACATGCCAGCCAGAATAAGCCTCAAAGGGACCCTGAGCTCCAGATGACACCACAGCCCACCAGCACCTTGACTGCAACCTTATGAGACCCTGAGCAGCGGACCCAGGGATGCTGCACCTGGCAATAATATACTGCTTTAACTGCTGCATTTGTGGGAATTTGTTTTAAAGCAACAGAAAATCAACACACTGTGAATCATTAGGAGAAGTGAGCTACTTCACAGATTCGTTGAGGCCCTATGAGGGCACCCTAATCAGAACTTCTCAACTGAAAAAAATCTCTGAAACCACATCACACCTCTCTGAGTCAGCAGGCACCACTGTCATACTGACTGGTTTCTTACAAATGTCTGGCCACTGTTACTGAGGGGGCCAGGGTAGTAGAAAGCCAATGAGTGTGCTCACCTTGGCAAGGGCATCCTCCAAAGTGTCTGTCACATTCTGTGCCAGGGCCACCGGGCAGCAGAGACGCAGATCATTGAAGGCGACTAGAATACTGTTAAGGAAGCAGGCAAGGGGTGGGAAGTCTAAGAGCACCATTGGTGGCTGCAGCGTGCCTGGCTGAGTGGCTGGCATGGGAGCAGGTACATTACTGCTGCCCAGGATGGCTGGGGCCGAGATGAGGGTGTAGGAATTCATTTCATCCTGGAATTTCTCCACTGCTTCCTGAATTGCTTTTTGAAAAGTGGTAATAGCCACCCGCTGGAAAACGGGAGCTAACTGTCCCCGGAAATCAGCCCCAACCCGGCTAAAGGATAGCCCGAAGTACATGCACTGGCCCAGCAGAGAGTCCAGGCGGCCGCCTATCCCTCGGCAGAGGTCAGCCTCCAGCACTTGCAGGAACTGGGAGACTTTCTGCAGCACCCAGCCATGGAAGATGGCACCCTCATTCACAGTGTGCTCGCCCACGGCGGGGGGCAGCAAGGGGTCCTCATCGGAGAAGATGGCGCGGTACTGCGTGATGATATCAAAGAGGTGGACACGGCAGGCCTCAATGGTTTTTGTGATATGGAAGTAGGGATCATCACTGGGGATGGCAGTCAGGATAGAGCGGAGCCAGGCATCTCGGGCCTGAAGAAACTTCACTCTCAGCTCGGCCTCAGTGAAGACATCCATGCGCCGCAGGTAGCCGATGACACGGAGACAGGCGGGGAGCTGGACGTTGGTCCTCAGTTGCTGGATCATCTGGCTCAGCATCAGCTGCATGGACTGGCGCACTTCATTCACAATGCCCTGAGGAGACAGGGAGCAAGTCACTAACCTTGAATACAGGTGACCAACATTCCCATAGCTTCCTCACCTAGAAAGTGGATCTGGTCTCATAACGCTCTTGCTTAAAATGCTTAAAACCCTCCAAGGATTCTCACTGCAATCAATAAAATTCCAGCTACCCACTACGGCCTCTAGTCTTGCCTGTGTCTCCAGCTTCACCTGCTTCCAATGTTCTACGTGGCTCAATGCAGTCCAGGAGCCTTGGCTGTCTTTGGATCCTTTAAACATCCCAACTTCTTTTTTGTTTTGAGACAGTTTCGCTATGTAGCCCAGGCTGGCCTCAAACTCACAGGGATACTCCTTTCTCAGCCTCCCGAATGCTGGGATTACATGCATGTGTCACCATGCCCAGCAAACACACCCCAATTTCCTCTGCTTCCACCCTCCATTCGTTCTTTCCACTTTCTGGTTTGTTCTTCCCAGATCTTCATGTGACTGGCTCCTTCTCATCATTTAGGTCTCAGCTTGTTATCTCTCTAGAATGGCTTTTCTTAACCACACTACCAAAGGCTCCTATCTTGGTCTTTCTCCACCCCATTTCCTGGTTTATTTTCTTTCTTTTTTTTTTTTTTTGGTACCGGGGATTGAACTTGGGTCCTTCTGCTTGCAAGGCAGGCGGCAAAACCACTGAGCTAGATCCCCGGCCCTCCTGGTTTATTTTCTTCAGACACTTACCACTAGCTTAAATGATCATATTATTTATTTGTCAACTATCAGACCTCCACTAAAAGGTAACCCTCATGAAAGCCAGAACCTTGACTGCTTTGTCACCCTAGCACCTAGATCAGTCCCTGCAGATAATTAATGTACCTTTGAATAAGTAAATTCATGAATGAATCATGTTTTCTGTCTGTTCAAGCCTACCTAACTGGCAGAAACTGAGGTGAAACATGCAAAGGTTTCTACCTAAAGGTTCAGTCACCACCACTGAATGATTCCAAGAATGCTAATGTGCCTACCTGGATGACAGGGATGGTGGAGTATTTTCTTTCTAGCCGGTGAACATAGGCTGCAAGCTCCAGGGCCTCTTCATAATAGCTATTCCGGACACAGGTGTCCATGAGTTGAGGAATCTCCAGAATTTCCAGGATTTCTGTGTGCCGGTTTAGAGTCAAGGTGTTCATCCGGCGGTTGGAACTGATCTCCTCAGCTTCCTGCACAAAGTTCCTAGAAGCAATCAGGAAAACACTGGTACCCTACTACTGTTCTGCAACCAAACCACAGCCAGTCACCCAGCACTTACTGTGAAGTGGGCTCTGGGATGAATGGTTTACCTTATTTAATCCTCACATCACAACTGTTAGTGCTATTACACTTGAGGAAACTTTTTTTTTTGGCTGTACAAGGCATTGAACCCAGGACCTTTGTACTGAGTTACATCCCCGGGCCCCTCTCCCTTTGATAAATGTTCTTGTTAAGTCACTAAGTTGCCCAGGCTGGGCTCAAAGTTGTGATCTTCCTGTCTCAGCCTCCCAAACTGCTGGGATTATAAGAATGTGCCATTACATCACGAGGAAACTTGTGATCTCAGAAAGGTTAAGCAGCTTGTTCAAGATTACACCACCAATAAAAGACTGACATCTCAATCAGCTGCATGGACTGGTGCGGTTTCATGAATGTGGAACTTGTGGGACTAACTAGCTGTGGCAAGGTATTAGCCTCTCTAGACTGATTTCCTCATTGGTAAAATAGTAATAGGATCCTCCTCATAAGGATGTGAGGGTAAATTGAGATGATGCATGTGAAGTATTTAATATAGAACATGATGCAAAGTAAGTGTGTCAGAGTAAGAGACCCAGATAAAATGTTCCTTTAAAATAGCTATTACAAAAAAAAAAAAGCTATTACTACTCAGGCATGGTAATGCACCCCTGTAATCCCAGAACTTGGGAGGCTGAGGCAGGAGGATCATTTTAAGTTTAAGGCCAGCCTGGGCTACATGAGTTCAAGGCCAGCACAAACTACACAGTGAAACTGACTAAAAATTTTAAAAAAATTTTTAAGCTATTATCATTTTCATAATAAAGCATTAACTAGCCTGGCTCCAAGTTCCTTCAAGTTTTAATCTATCTACTGTTCAGCCTTAGTTCTCACGATACTTTCTCCATTTCTTTTCTATAGTAACTACAAAGACCTGCTTTATGAAATCCCGTTTTGGGTCATGGAAGATACAAAAATCAGTGGTCAAATATTAAAGGCTCAAACAAAAAATTAAACTTGAATCATGAAAGGTTGGGTGGTGGGAATAAGGAAACAATACTGAGGATCTACAGAAAGTCTTTTTGATTTTTGCTGTCTTACAATGACAGGATTTCTGTCAGCTTACTATCAATGGAAATCCTAAAGCAGATAATCTCTGGTCTGATATATATCCTTGACATTTATAGTGTGAACTATGTCAGACTCTGTGTGTGGAGTGGATTCTTTTTATGTAGTACTCACAACAGCCCTAGAGGCTGGGACGTGCTCCTAGGTTTCTTTCTTTTTTTTTTTTTGATAAGTTCTCATTATGCACTGCAGGCTGCCCTCAATCTTGGGTCAATCCTCCTGCCTCAGCCTCCCCAGTGATGGGCTACAGGTGTGCGCCACCATGCCCAGCTAGGTTCCAATTCTGACTTGGAAACTTACTAGCTAGGTTCTCGGACAAGTCACTAACCTCTGTTTCTCAACTTCCTCATCTGTAACATGGGAATGGCAGAACCTACCTCGAAGGCTGTTGCGAGCCCTGCACACGGTATGCGCTACGTGTTAGCTATTTCTATCCACCCTAAGTGATAGTTATCACAGTTAGACGCCTCTTTGGAGCTGACCGCCGCACCTGCAGCTCTGCTGGAAGCTGGGCAAGCGGTCGAGCAGGCGGCCGAGCGACGCCTCCACGTCGCCGAAGAGGCGGTGGATGCGCTCGGTGCACTCGGCGCCGCGGATGAAGGTCTTGTAGTTGGCGAAGGCCAAGTCGCGCGTCTGCTGTAGCAGCTGCGCCCGCTCCTCCGCCAGGCGCTCCGGCTCGCGCCGCAGCCGCTCCAGCCCCGAGCCACTCAGTTCCCGGAGGTAGCGGCCCACATCAGGCCGCTCCCGCCACTGGGCCTCGGGGAAGCGGTCTCGGAACAGAGACGCCAAGAGCCCTTCATCTTCCACCTCTCCGAGAGCTGCTGACGTGGCTATCGCCGTGGCTGATCCCGCCGTTGACGACGGGAGAGTCGCCGCCGCCATCTTCCCGGCAACAGCGTCACGTCCCCTCCAGACTGGGGAGGGCGCTGTCCCGCAGTGAGGACCGGAAGCAACTGGGAACAGTTCCTGTCTCTATGATTTCTTATCTGGCCGGCTTTCTTTCCCCGGCGGTCCTCCACACCAGGGGCCGCTAGCGTGAGCAACGACCGCTTTGGCGCTAGAGAGGCAGGCTTTGGGGTTGCCACGGAGTAGCCGGAGCCCAACTTCCGCTTCCGGCCACTGAGGCACGAGGATCCGGTGTTCATACCTAGCGGGAAAATGCGGCCTTTAACTGAAGAGGAGACCCGTGTGATGTTTGAGAAAATCGCAAAATAGTAGGAGCGCGGGGAGGACAAGGGAGTGTGTGTGGTGGGGAGTGGGTGGAATGTTGTCGTGCGGCCGAGACGAGTCGGTTCGGGCGCAGCCTCCAGCCCTCTTTTTGCCCTTAGCATCGGGGAGAACCTTCAGCTGCTGGTTGACAGGCCCGACGGTACCTACTGTTTTAGGCTGCACAACGACCGGGTGTACTACGTGAGGTGAGGTGGGACACGCAGCAGCGTGGAGCCGGGTGGAGGAGCCCTGGGTCCTGTCGGCCTCCCTCACCCGAAGCCTTGCTGCCCGTCACCCTTTTAGTGAGAAGATGCTGAAGCTGGCCGCCAATATCTCCAGGGACAAGCTGGTGTCGCTGGGGACCTGCTTCGGAAAATTCACCAAGACCCACAAGTTTCGGCTGCACATTACGGCTCTGGATTACCTGGCACCTTACGCCAAGGTTTGTGGGGTGGTTCCGCTTCGCCACCGGGGAAGGAGTCAGGGTGAGGGCCACGGCGGGAGGCACAGTATCAATACCGACAGCTTGAACACGGAGACCTCGGCAGTGCTGGGTCCGAACGAGGGGGAGGTTCTAGGTCTTGCGGCTCGCTGCGGGGTTGGGTTGTGTGGGTTGTGCCATGCAGCTGCAGGATCAGAAAGCAGGTGAATGGCAGTAAGGAGCGAGAACATTGGGGTCCAGAAAAGGCCTCTTAGACTCTCCTTGGAAGAAATTGTAAAGTTGAGCAAACTTCATGGCGGTTCTGTTCAGGGGATGGACTGTTTGAGGGGGAAATGTCTACCTATCTCGCATTGTCTCCCTTTTTCTCCCTCTCCAAATTCTTTTTAGAAATTAATCACAGGCCCAGCAACTATTTATCTGTAGGGATATAACTAAGCATTTTTTTTGTCTCTCGGACTTTCCCTTTCTTACAGTATAAAGTGTGGATAAAGCCTGGAGCAGAGCAGTCCTTCTTGTATGGAAACCATGTATTGAAATCTGGTTTGGGCCGGATCACTGAAAGTACTTCTCAGTACCAGGGAGTGGTGGTGTACTCCATGGCAGACATCCCTTTGGTGAGTAGAGATGGCAGTGTTACAGAAACCAAGTACTTTTTTTTTTTTTAACCTGAAGCATATATCTTAAATTTGTGTGCCTCAGAGACTAACTTCTCAGCGCCTTTTGAATTTCTCAAAGACAAGAACTGTGTTTTGCACCGGGGTTTAGCTCAGTGGTTCCACCACCTGCCTCCCAAGTGCAAGGTCCCGAGTTCAATCCCTGGTACCAAAAAAAAAAGAACTGTGTTTTTCATCTTAATTTATTATCTCCAGCTCTCAACATGGGCTTATTGAATGACTTGAGTGAATTAGTCTTTCTTCTTTTGAATCCCAGGGTTTTGGGGTAGCAGCAAAGTCTACACAAGACTGTAGGAAAGTAGACCCCATGGCGATTGTGGTATTTCATCAAGCAGACGTTGGGGAATACATACGGCATGAAGAGACATTGACTTAAAATGAAGTCGTGAAGAATTTTAACAGCAGTGTGGAAGGGCCTAGCTTTGTTTCCTGTGTCTGTGCAGATGCTTCCATCATGTGGAATTTTGTCAACACTGTGACCTCTACAAGGACTTCTTAGTTTAATATTCTGTCACTAAAAAGTGCAGGCTGGATTCTTACTATACAGAAATGCCTCAGAAGTGGTTTCAAATCTTTGTGTTTGTGACTAAATAGAATACTCTTACTCTATATTTGAATCATTTTTACATTTTGAATCAGAGGACTTCTTGTTCTGAATGATAGGTTCTAAATCATTGGAACTGAGGACAAGACTAGCTTATCATTGTTATCTGTGATAACATCTTGTTTTGTAGGGTCATGATAACATAGTGGATTTTCTTTTTTGTAAATATCATAAAAGATATTAGACTATAAGAATAGTACTCCATGTCTCAGATTTAACAAGTGGAATTTGGCTGAATTAGTAAGTTCCATTTATTCAGCTGTTTTTCCATACAGTAAGTGCTGTATGTGTGGGAAAAACACTTGCATTCAAACCCTAATTCTTCCACCTCCCAGCTCCATGGCCTTGGAAGAGTCTTTCAACTTTAATAAGTGTTTTCTTTTTCTGTTAAAAAAAAAAAAACAACCTTTAACCATCAGCGTAGGGAAGTGGTTTTTAGGATCAGAAATCATGATTGTAAAGCATCTACTACAATGCCTAGCAAATGTAGGTGTTGAATAAATGGTAAAAGCTAGTTTTATATTACATATTTCTATTACTAAGCATAGGATCTTAGTGTAACATGATTATATTGTCTTGTTTCTTACATGATGTTTTTTATGGTCTTTTTTCGTGGATGGGATGATCCCAGGCTGAAGCGTTCTTTTCATCACTTTGATTTCATAAAACATGACTTATGAACCCCTCTTTACCTTACAAGACTGAACCAAAAGCACTAGAGACCATGAAATTATAATTCAGCTCCTTCATCCTTTCCCATACTTCCCTAAGTTATTTTAGAATTTATAAAACATTTTTAAAAGATATTTCACTGCCAGAAGTTTTTCAAACTACCTGTATTATAAAACAAAACAATTTCTTAGATATATACTATATATTATTTTTAATTCAAAAGTTTACATCTTTAAAAATAAAATATTTTCAGCTACAAAAAGGCATTCTGCTAGCTCTTGTTATTCTCAGCAAGCAAATTTAATGTTGCCCCACCTTTTTCAATTTTCCGTCCCAGGGCTTTCTGTTATCCCGTAAGTGGAATCATTGAATGCTAAGGGACTATTGTACAATAAATGGTATTTTAATCTTATGTTTTTAACACATTTACAATGGGGCAGTAATTTGTATGTCTTGCTGCCGGGCCTCTCTACCACTAGTGGATCAAGCCAGCAGGAATGTGTTAATGCAGTCTTTAGATATAGCCAATCTCAGAACTTTTACATTTTTATGACTTTTATTGCCATTTTACCATTGTTGATAAGCACAGTAAATTTAATTTTTTCTATTTTTGTGAAGTTGAGTTAACCAAAGCTTTGACAAAGCTGCTATTCCAGCAGAAAAGCCCAGATGCTATAGTCAGCTTAGCATCTTGGCTTTTTTGTGTCAGTTGTGGTTGGAACATTGAAGAGACGCTTTAAGAAATACAGCTGCAAGATCCCAGAAAGAACAATAACAAGGCTCTGGGCTGTTGACCACCAGTTCACATAGTTATAATTTGATAGAAGAAGGAAAAAGTCAGCCATCTTCTTCATCCGAGCAAAGTTGTAGAATCGCCACATGTGAAAGATATTGGCCTGCACCCTTCGTGAACTCTCCTGTGGAAGAGAAAATAAAGGTGTCCCACCCACATCTGTCCTCATCTGAGTGCTCAGCAACACTAACCTACATTTAATACTATTGCAGTTTTTGAAAGAATATTTTGGCTGGTGATGTAGCTCAGTGGTAGAGTACTTGCCTAGCTTGTGCAAGGCCCTGGATTTAGTCCCTAGCACAGCCAAAATAACCTCTGCTTTACAAATGCTAAGCAAGTACTCTACTACTAAGATATGTTCCTAGCCCCAAAAGTGATGTGTTCTTTTCTTGGTACTGGGGATTGAACCACCCAGGGCCTTGCATATATTCACCAAATGCTCTACCAATGAACTACACCCTCAGCCCTTATTTACTTTTTTATTTTGAGACAGGTCTCACTAAGTTGCCCAGGCTGGCCTCGAACTTGGCTCCTTCTGAGGCTCCACAGCCTCCCCAGTAGCTGGGATTACAACCATATGTCATAATGCCAAAAAGCCATGTGTTTTGTTTTGTTTTTAATAATGAAAAACTAGTGTTCAAACTGGAGAGCTCTTCCAGAAGATCCTAGGTTTAGACATGAATTCAGCACTTCATTACCCTTTACGTGATGCCTTCTGTCTGCGGACTTTTATTGTTTGTTTGTTTTTTTTGGTACCAGAGATCGAACTCAGGTCTTTGCGCTTGCAAGGCAAGCGGCAGAACCACTAAGCCAAATCCCTGGCCCAAGAGCCAAATAGTAAATATCTTAGGTTTTGCAGGTTATACTGTCTCTTGCAGCTACCAAGATGTGACATTGTAGGACAAAAGCAGTCACAATGGATTGTCAGATGACCGTGGCTATGTTCCAGTAAAATTTGTTTATAAAACAGGCAGTGAGCTTTTGTGCACCAAGGAAAAAGTGAAAAGATATCCCACGGAATGGGAAAAGAATATCTGCAAATCACATATCTGGTGAGGGATTTATCCAGAACATATAAATAAAATAAGTCCACCATATCTTTGTTGTTTTTTTTTGGTCGGAGGATCAAACCCAGGGGAAGTCCTACACCACTGACCCAAATGCTAACCCCCCAGCCCAAAAACCCAATTTTGAAATGGCCAAAGAATTTCAGCAGACATTCCCCAAAAATAAAAATATACAAATGGTCAATAAGTACATGAAAAGATGGTTACCATTAATTGTTAGAGAAATGTAACTCACACCATAAAATAACACTTCATACGCACTAGGATGCCTGTAATCAAGTATCACAGTGTGGAGTGATTTGAACCCTCATACACTGCTGATGAGAGTGTGAAATGGTTTAACCACTGTGGAAAACAGTCTGGCAGCTCCTCACAAAGTCAAACAGTTAACAAGTGACCCAGCGATTCCACTTTTAGGAATACAGAAACAAAAACATTAACACAAGAGCTTGTATACAGTTATTCACTGTAGCCTTGTGATAAGTACTATGGAAACAACCCTATGTTGTGGAAATAACAAAAAATGGAAATAGCCCAATGTCTATCAGCTGATGAGTAGATATATAGAATGTATGTTCATACAGTAGAATATTTTTCAGCCAAAAAAGGAATAAAATACTAAAACTTGGATAAACCTTAAAAACATACTAAGTGGAAAATACTAATTACAAAAGGCCACATGTATGATTTAATCTAAAATGTATAGAACAGATCTATAGAAACAAATAGTGATTGTCAAGGCTGGAGGATCATGGGGGAATAGAGAATGACTAGTGGGTACAGGGTTTCTTTTGAGGGTGATAAAATTACTCTGGATTTGGCCAGGGATTTAGCTCAATGGTGCTGCTGCCTCCCTTGCAAGTGCAAGGTCCCAAATTCAATCCCTGGTACCAAAAAAAAAAAATTTACTCTGGATTAGATGCTGGAAATGGCTGTATAGCCATGTGAGTATAGTAAAAACCATTGAATTATACACTTGAAGGTAGTAAATTGTATGGTATATGAATTATATCTCAAAAAAAATAGGCAGTAGGCTAGATTTGGCCTGTGAGCTGAAATTTTCTGGATCATGATATGAAATAGGACAAATTCAAAGACCTTCAAGTCTTAAAAATTTATGAAAGGATGCTGGCTTGGTGGCATACACCTGTAATCCCAGCGCTCTGGAGGCTGAGGCAGGATCACAGTGAGTTCAAAGCCAGCCTGAAATACATAGTAAGATCCTGTCTCAAAAAAAAAATTAGGGTTGGGGTTTTAGTTCAGTGGTTCCACCACTTGCCTTGCAAGCAAAAGGACCCAAGTTTGATCCCCAGTACAAAAAAAAAAAAAATTTAATGAAAGGATTCAAATTCCCTTGCCTGTTTGGATTTTATCCATATGAGCTCTCAAAGGATATTGCTCCCATAATTTTTAATCTTTTTTTTGGTACCTGAGATTGAATTTGGGTCCTTGCACTTGCAGGGCAGGCAGTGGAACCACTGAGCTAAATGCCCAGCAATCTTTTTTTAAATTTTTATTAGGACAATACATGTTTATAGAACATAATGATTACATTCACGGTAGCGACTGGTACCTGTACATAACAATTTCAGTTCTTTTTTTCCCCTTCCCCTTAATTTTTAATCTTTTATCCAAATTAAAATTAATTCCCATGGATGTGTCTCTCCCACAAAACATTACCTCAATTGCATCTAGGGTATCATTCAGCTGTTTTCTTTGATTCTCTTTGTAGTCTATCTCAGGCCCCTCGTAGAAGACTCCAAAGTTGAGGTAGACTTGCAGAGAACTAAAGTGATTTTGCTGGTTTCTTAAACAAAGCTGGTAGTAACCTGTAGGAACTCTTAGATTATTAGTGAATCTTTGGTCTCCCACCTTTTTTTTTATTTTCTGGAGACAGCACAGAACTAAAGCTACTGATATTAGTAATTTTTTGTTTTTTTGAGACAGTGTCTTGCTATGTAGTCCAGGCTGGCTTTGAACTCACTAGCCCCAGGCTGGCCTCGAACTCGTGATGATCCTTCTGCCTCAGCCTCCAGTGTGTTTTGGGATCAGAGGTGTGTGCCACCACGCCCAGCTCTCCCACCCTATTTTAAGGCTTTCCCAAAGATAACTCTTCCCCAGTTTTTTTCTGGGGGAGTTGGGGTTGAGACAGAGTCTCACTACGAAGTATAGGTTATCCTTGAACTCAGTGTGTAGCCCATGTTGGCCTTGAACTCAAAATCCTGCCTCGGCCTCCAGAGTACTGGGATTACAAGTATGCACCACCACATCTGGCTCCCAGCTTTAACATTGCTATTACAGGGCCGGGGATTTAGCTCTGGTTTTGCAGCCTACTGCGCAAGCTCAAGGACCTGAGTTCAATCCCCAGTACCAAAACAAAACAAAACAAAATTGCTATTACAGCTCCTTTTTACTTAGGAAGTACAAAGATCCTTCTTTAACATGGAGGACACTGATTTTACCTGAAACTTATTTTAATAAATATTACCAATAGGGCCGGGGATTTAGCTCAGTGGTTCCGCCACCTGCCTCGCAGGCGCAAGGTCCCGAGTTCGATCCCTGGTACCAAAAAATAAATAAATATTACCAGTAGAGCCAGGCTCATGCCTGTAATCCCAGAACTTTGGGAGGCTGAGGCAGGAGGACTGCTGCTAGTTCAAAGCCAGCCTGAACTACATAGCAAGACACTGTCTCAAAAAAAAAAAATTACTGATATCAGTAGCTTTACTTCTGTGCTGGGTAGAAAACTCTTTACTCTCCCTTCCAATCTGTTATACCTGTCCCTTGCTAAGGCTGTCCTACTCAACAGATTTGAGTGGAAAATAAGAGGGATAGAATTTGCCTGCTCCTTGTACATTAGAACTGGGGACAGTGTGTGTGTGTGTGTGTGTGTGTGTGTGTGTGTGTGTGTGTGTGTGTGTGTGTGTTATTGAGGATTGAACCCAAGGACTGCTGAGCTACAGCCACAGCCCTTTTTATTATTTGAAGACAGGATCTCCTAAATTTCTTGGTCTGACCTCACACATGTGGTCCTTCTGCCTCAGCCTGACAGCTGGGATTACAGGTGTTTGCCATTGCACTCAGATGTGGACACCATCTTGAACTTGAAACTGGGGTGGGAGTGGGGATGCACTGTGAATGAAAGAAACTGCCCTCTTGGAATAACTGCCTGCAAAGCAGCCTGTCCAGTAATTCATGGTTTGGGGCTCCTATTTGTGATATTTTAGGCTGGAATCATCTTCCTTTGTGTGTATGCTTGTGGGGAATGGGGGTTAGAGCAGTGTAGCAGTTATTAAAAGTTAAAATGGGGCTGGGGATTTAGCTCAGTGATTTCACCACCTGCCTCGAAAGCACAAGGACCTGATTTCGATCCCCGGTACCAAAAAAAAAAAGTTAAAATGATTGGAAGGCACTACTGGCTGGTGGAGGCCAAAGATGCCAAACATCCATTAATTCTGAACAGACATCCTGCACTACCCAGTGAAGGATTGTCTAATGCTTCTGCCGAGAACATCTGTCTTTGTAAAGAGGGCAGCTCTGACGGGTGCTGTC